TAGTAGCTGCATCACTACCTGAAGATAATATAGTACACAGAGGAACACAGTAGCTAAGATATCTAGCCTTGAACAGTATACCAACAATACCTAGTACTTCATGCCAACAAACAACAACTAAATATTTTCCAGAAAAGTTTTCATTTATACAGTAGTTTTTGAGACTGACCAGAGAATGGGGGAATGTAGACCATGAGACTGCTGTTCTCCCAGTCATCCACTACCGCTCTGAAACAACACAGACATCCAGAGAATTGTACATCTGACCAGAGAGAGAGGGAATTCTCTGACCTGTATTTGGCTGTAAGAATAGGGTCATCCGAGAAGCCGTGGGTGGTAAAGAACCTCTCTGCCTTGTGGTCTGCGAACGTTAGGAGAGCATTGTACTCACCCACCACTGCCGGGTCCTTCATTGTCTGCAACATTAATAACAGGAGAAACTCACTCATTACTTAGTTAATACTATCCTTCAAATTTTGAGGCTACAAATCTTTTACTTCTACAGGGCCATTAAAAAGTATACAATAGCACCTTTTGCTATGTTAGCTACAGCACACACATCACTGATATCAGAATCATATATATCTACACTCTTTAGTAGAGAGACTACCAGAGCTCACAGATGAAGCTAAATAAGACACACCTGAAGCAGGAAAGAGCCAAGACCGGCCCTCCTCCATCTGTGTCTCACGGCCAGGAGAAGAACCTGGACGGCACTGCCCGGCGGTCGACTGCTCAGTCTCAGGAAACACCCACACCCAGCCACAGTCTCCTCTGGACCAGATATGGAGGACCTCTCTCCCTCACGACGGTACCGACAGGCCTCCAGAAACCTTCTCCTCCCCTCACTGAACTCATCCTCTCCTCCAACACTGCGAAGTTTTAGAGTCGATTTTGCAAAAAATGCACTTTGAGTAAGATATGGAAAACGTAGCCAAAATACTTTTGGAATTAAAAGGGGCACACCTCTCATTATCGCTGGAGTCCGATTCACTGAAAACTTCCAGAAATGGGTTCTCCACCTCACAGCTACTACCAGTAGACTGCGGGGCTGCACTCGTCGGTGTGATCTTTGCTTCAGTTTCAGAGCTCGTGGTAATAGTTCTTTTTTCTCTTTGCTTGTGTGAACATTGAAGCTCCCCCACCCTGCTGGTTGATAGTAGAACGATTGTCTTGCTGCCGGAACGAGTGAGACTGGAGTATATGGCCGAGTCCTCCATGTCCGGGAGAGCAACGCTGCACAACCCAGCCACTGCATGCAGCAGGTCCTCCCACGAATACTGCCCGGTGAGAGAGAAAAAGGAGGACCTAGGTACACATAATTCTTCCCAAATGGCTGTATCCTACCTCTTCCCCTCCCTCTCCTGAAGTTGTTGTTGCAGAGGCGTCGTCGTCCAGCGGTGGAATAGTGGGCGGGTCTGCCCGCAGTTTCTTGAAGTTTACCAGAAGAGCCTTGAACCTCTGTGCGGGGCTCCCTCTCGCCAGCACGCTCTCTCTAAGAACCTCCATGATCCAACGCCTATATACTAGTACTGCAGCAGGCAGCAGCAAACTGCACAGGTAGGTTCGCCGCCGAATCTTTGCGCATGCGTAGTACACGATGACACAGTTTCACCGTCCTGCAATGCTAACGGTGTATGAAAGTGTGCAAATTCCTACAGCCATCACTACTCCAAGACCAGTATAAAGAAATGGCAACAGATCCTTGTCTTCTTCATCATCGTAAAATTGCGAAATAATCTTGTCTTCTAACTCCTTCATTTGTTTCTCGTTCTCTTCAACAATAATCTCTCTAAATTCGTTACCCAGGGTCTGGCTAATCACAGCAGTGTCTGGAGAATGCTGGGGCATCACCTGCTGCTGCGTCTGCAGGGTCCTTTCAATATCGTTCATCTTCTGCTCCAGTAATCTCTGGTGTTTTCGAACTTCCCTTCGTAGAAAAAGGTTTGAACCCGCAAATCCAAACACTGCTCCCAGGATTGAGCCGAGACGTGAATAATACTTCAGCTTCTCCGACTGTGCCCTCTCCTTCTCGTGCGAGGACAGAATGGCGTCTCCCAGAGCCTCGAAGCATTCCCTCTCTTTCAACTTGAGGGACTCAAGACTCACTCCCTGTGACTGTTCCTCTGACAGAAGGCTCTCTTCCTCAGAGTTGATGGTCTGTAGAGCGGCCAGGTCGCGGCGCTGCGCCTGGTACAGCTGGGTCTTGATAGCGTACACGTGTCGTAGTCTCTGTTGAATCTCCTCGTGGAGAGCCGTTGCGTCAGACACGCTCTGTCGCCATGTTTTCAGCTCTTCCCTTTTTCTCCTCACCTCCGCCTGAGCCAAGGACACTTTATTTTGTCCAGTTAGCTCCTCCGTGGTACTCCTGACGTAAGACACCAGGTTTACTGGCCTGCCACTGTATCGTCGAGGAAAAGACTGGACGAGAAACAGCACAGCTCGCATCTCTCAGCTGAGTCTGTAGCCACGCCCCTAAAACGTCATGTTCAAAATTACTTTCGGGTAATTGGATATCCGGTCATACCATGTGAATTTGCCGCGCCGTCGTCGGAAAAGTGACAGGGCTAGCTTAGCCGGAACGGCGAGACAACGAGGGTTCTGCTAGCGTCCAGCCTTCCCTACCCTTCCAGTACCATCCCCAGCGGTTGCCAGGAGGCAGAGAACCATGTCTGAGAAAGGCGGGGACGACTTCAGCTCCCCGCGCTCGCTCAGCGACGCGCCTCTGGACGACGAGTCGGTTGGAGGCAAGTCTTCTATCACGTGGGCGACGTTTTGGTTCTCTCCCCCCTCAGCTCACCGTTGGCAGAGCCTCTAGTTACTGTCTAGCTCCAATGCCCTTGTCTAGCACCAGAGATAGCGCCAAAATGAGCATGTTGGCACTCTCCTTGCGCGCGTGTAGGGAGCCATGGAAGTTGTCGCCTGATATTTAAATTCCTGTCCTACTGGCTGGTTGCCAGCCTCTGCAGTGACTTTAGAGTAACACAAATCTCACCAGTACACCTAGCCCTGTAGCTATTTTCCTACAAAGGACGCACATGTCAGGGTGATACCTTGCATACTTGTTGCTCTTGTATATACTGTACCTGTATCCTCAAGTGAGTTGAATGGTGCATTTCTCTACTTACTTTCCTTCTCTCCCTCCCCACCCTTCTACTTCTCTAACCCTTCTCCTTCCCCTCTGGTTTTCATTAAACTTCCTCCTCCTTCCCTCTCCCCTCACTCAGACTCTCCATTTCCCGATGGCAACCCAGACTCTCTCTCTCCCTCCTCCTCCTCCTTTGCCGTCTTCACCAAAGAGCAGGACGGCTCTTCTTCCTCGGCCCCAGACCCCCACCCCTCAGCACAGACCCAGGACTCTGTCATCGTGATAGACGAGGCAGTCCCCCGTGGGTCCCTGGGGTCCGGGGAGGACGGGGATGAGGCGGGAGAGAGGGACGAAGATGATCCTCCCAGACCACCCTCTCCTTCCAGGACATGTAGCATCACAGATGAAGACGCTTTAGGTGAGCAATTACCCTTCTTTCTACGTTTCTCTTGCATTCTTCTCATTTCCTATTGCCCCTTTTCGTCTGACAATCCATCTTTGTTGTTGAGACTTCATATTGCACAGGCACAAACGTGTTTACTGCAGTGAGGGTAGGTTTATCGTGAATTGTTTAGTTCTTGTGTGCTGTGCTCGACACAAGAGCAGAAGTGTTCGTAAGACCCACTTGTTTAGTAGTGGTGTCTTGTTGCAATTGCTGCTTGTTTTCGTGAGCTAAAGATTGAGTTTCAAGTGCAAACGTACCATCAATCTCTCTCTCTCTCTCCTCTTGTGTCTGTGGGTGCAGGAGTTAGTACAGAGGTCCACCCTCCCAGTGATGATCTACTAGAACCTCATTTTGAGGTGCTGGACATTGTCGGGAAAGAAGAAGGAGAGGTGGAGAAGATCGCGAAGTCGGCAGAAACAAAGACAGAAACAAGACCACAGGTGTGTGTGTGTGTGTGTGTGTGTGTCTAGTCTTACCTCCCACATAACGTAAGTGTATTGAGCGGAAACTGACCTGCTAGTAAATAGGGGTATGCCGGGAGTAATGGGTTGTGATTGGAAGGATTCGTGTGCCTGTATGTAGGTTCAGTAAGGAAGGAGGGTGGTGGTGGGAGTAAGAGAGAGAGCTCTTCCCGGGAGAGGAGGGAGAGGGAGGGACGAAGGAACAGGGATGAAGACGGGAAAGAGGAGAGAAACGACAGAGGAAGTGAGTTGGCAGTGAGCTCTCTTCATGCCCTCTCTCTCTCTATCCTTTCTCTCCCCCCTCCTCTTTTCTCTCTCCCCCTCTGCTCCTATTTTTCTCTCTCTTTCTCTCTCATCCGCTGGATCTCTAGGAGGAACTCAGAGAGATATTTCTCCCATTACCTTTGACAGAGGCCAGAAAGGCTCAGGTACTCCAAAGCTTGAAAGTTCTATATTTAGGTCTACATATGAGAACTGGCTTGTTACTATATATAGACTGTGGCCACTGCATTCCAAATTTAGTCACACTTCTGGCATGCATTATACAGTGCAAGTGTGTCATGAATACACATAAATATCTAAGAGCTCATGTTGGCCTGTGTGTATGTGTGTTTGCTTATGTATTGTTTGCAGCAGATTCGAAGCACCAAGGAAGCAAAAGTGGGCACGTAAAGGAGCGATTAGGTGAGCTAACGGGAATTTGAGTTTACAAGTGGACCTTTTCATTCACCTCTGCCCTCCATCCCTCCTCCCACTCTCTCTCCTTTCTCCCTCCACACCCCTTCTCTCTACGTATATAGGACCATCTCCAGAGCACTCTGCCACAGGGCCACACAAGATAACCGACAAGCTCTTTGCCAACACGCGCTACTTTGTCATAAAGAGCAACAACTTTGAGAACGTGGAGATTGCCAAAGACAAGGTTGGTGTCGTTGTGGTGTGATGTAATCGTACTTCTAGGGTGTGGTGGGCGGAGTGAAATAGGGGCGTGGTTTCTTTTGTTCCTCCAGTCGGTGTGGTCGACTCCGCCCTACAATGAGAAGAAGTTGAACAAGGCTTACCGAGTGAGTGTATGGGGCCGGAAAGAATAGCTGTTAGCTTAATGTGTGGGGAATTGCTAGTGAACATGTGTACCGCTGTCCCATGTACATGTCTCAACTACTTGGTAACGAGGTAGAAAGGCAAGGCAAGGCAAACAAGCCAACTACACCCAGGACAGCTCTTTCTTTTCAGAAGAGCTGCCCTGGGTGGGATTCGAACCCATGACACTCTGCAGTCTAGTAGCAACTGAGCTACATGTACATGTGTATCAAATGAAGTGAGAGTTATGTTCCTTGCAAGTGGTCATAGTTACCTGCTCGTCTCCACTGGCACTGCTCTAGCTAGTGCACACCACGAGTGTTGACTGGAGAAAGAGAGAAAGACGGGGAAGGATTAGCTAGAGAGTTGTCCGTTTTTCTCCACTGCAGGACTGTCGGAACGTGATTCTCATATTCTCAGTCAGAGAGAGTGGAAGGTTTCAAGGTTGGTGGTACTATATACCGTCTCATCCCTCGCTGGTACTGCTACATTTGTGTTGTAATTGAAAGTGAAACGGTTCCATGTGTGTGTAAATACGCAATTATATAGCTTGGACTGTCTAATAGTATTGTATTGTGGGAGAATTAATATATGAAACCAATTTGCCAAAGTCTCTCTGCCATTGATGATCTGCTGAGATTTTCATAAGGTGAGTTATTTCTCTCTCATTCTCCCTACTGAAGGTTTTGCGAGGCTGCAGTCTGAGTCACGTCACGATGGACCCCACGTACCCTGGATCCTGCCGCCCGGCATCTCTCAGGCTCAGCTGGGTGGTGTCTTCAAGCTGGAGTGGATCCACAAGTTAGTCGCTTGAGAGAAAGAGGAGAGGGGGGGAATAAGAGAAAGAAGAGAGAGGGGGTGTTGGGAAAGTTCCTTCACTTAACTCCATTACTACGTTCACTTAGCTCACACACACATACGCACACTTCCAGGGGTTGTCTGGACTTCAACATGTGTCAGGACCTAAAGAATCCTTGGAATGACAATAAACCGGTCAAAATCAGCAGAGATGGCCAGGTACATACTCTCCTTCCCTCCCTCTCTTGTTTAGTCGCCCATCTCCCTCCACTGTAGGAAATTGAGCCCACAGTAGGCGAGCGTCTCTGTCGACTCTGGATCAAGATAGAGTCTGAGGACGACTTTCCACACACCACTGTACCGACGTCACGTCACTCCGTCCATCCTCATGCACACCACTTCCAGCGACAAATGCCGCCCTACTCAAACCCGTATCCCGCCTTTCACCATGGTTACCATCCCGCCATGAGTCACATGATGCAGCCCGATGCACGAAGCGGACGCCTCCTCCTCCCCTCGTCCATGGTCTTTCCCCCTCCAAGGTTAGGTCACACCCCCTTTTTCAAGGCCCGGCCCTGGTGGGGTCCCCCACCCCCCAATTTCATGCCCCCCCACGGGCCCCCTATGGCAATGAACCACGGACCCCCTCCTCCGCTGCAACACCACCCAAATTCAAATTACCCCCACAATCACCCGGGGCCACCGCCCCCAGGGGAAAATTCGTCGTCATCGGCTGCTGGGACCAATGGAGGAAACGGCGGGGGGGCCCCGCAGAACTTCCCCAACCCCCTCTCCTCGGGTGGGCCTCCCTCACACAGCTATTCGGCCTTCCGGAACAATCTCCGGACTAACCCCCCGCCAATGAGCTACTCTGCCAAACGCCTACAGCAACAGCAGCAATCCACAGTCTACCATCCCTCTGATAAAGAACCCGGCGATGGCTCCCCACCGGAGGGGGAAAAAGTCGAGACAAACGAGGAAGTCCCTCTCATTGAAGCCAATCAGGATTCAGTCTCTTCCACGTAGCCGTGTATTCGGCGGTGCTTCTTCTTGCCAACCTATCTCTCGCTCTCTTAACCTCTTTATCCTTGTCTTCTGTTCTCGAGCATCTTCTAAGAGCTCTGCCTGGCCGGCAGGGGGTGTGTACGTGTTTACGGGCCTTTTGTGGGAATACATGATCACCTGAGAAAAATCGAAAATAATTCAAAAATGTCCCCTCTCAAAAAAATTTGTGGATTTTTAGTCTCTTGTGCCATGTGACTTTAAAGTAATGATAAGTAATACGTGAACTTTTGTGGACCTTTTTGGAACATTTACCTAATGGACAAGAGCACCTTGAACTGTATTAGTGGATGTAGCCCTCATTGTTTCTATATTGGACGTCCCATCTGTTAATTGGACAGCCTACTTAGTACCCAGACTGCATAATCACATAATTCTCTAGGACAATTGTTGGACTGCGCATCTCTCTCTCCTTTCATTGAGACTGGAAAAGGGTGCCACCGTCTCTAAGGACTACAGTTGTACATATGTGTTGTTCGAGTCATGTGGGCGGGGCAATGCCTAGAGACACGCCCCCTCTCTCCTCCCATTTGTGCCCTAACAAGCTTCAACCAACGAAGGATAAAAAGACATTCACACTCCCCCAATTTCTCTCTCTTTCTCTCTCTCACTCTCATTTAGTACCCACACTGTTCTGGTTTGCTGTGGGTACGCCCAATAGATTTTGTATTTATATCTGGAAAAACACTGTCTTTTTTACTGTTTAGGTATTTGGACACACGTAGCAATGACTATTAGAGTGGGACAATTTTTGCACTTTTTTGATACTTTTTTATTCGTCAATGTCAAATTTTTTAGAGTCAAATTTTTCTCTACTGTTGCTAGCAATTTTAGTGCCTCAGACTTTCCACCGGTGAGAAACCCTGCCCCAATCCTTAAAGTTTAACCCTTCTCTGCATAAATTTAACCCTTCCTGTCCCCGTATGCTCCCTGAGTGTCTGTGTGTTGCATGTGGACTCTCTCTCCCGTCATGTGACATGTATGTGGCAGCAAGCAGTACATGACCGAGGCAGCTGCTCTCCTGGACTCTCGGAAGAAGAGGACGGTCGAAGAGAGGGCGTCGCCACCGGCCAGCAAGAGGAGTGCCACTGTCTCCAGCAGCGAACGTATGGCCCATTCTAGTTGTGATACCTTTCTAAGTTTTTGTTTTGGCTTGCTGAAACATGTAGGCAGAGTTTGTGTCTTTTAAATGCCAGGGTTTTAGCAAGAAACAAGGGGTTCCTGTCTGCTTTCCACCCTTAGTCCAGGTGCTTATACGTGCACGTGTTTGCCCTGATTTTGCCCCAGGACGTCACGGAGAATCCTCCTCGATGTCCCGCAGTTCTCACCGCAGTGTGAGGGAGGAGGGAGGCCATCGGGAGAGAGGGAAGGAGAGGAGGGGGAGGAGCCGGAGTCGCAGCCACAGCAGAGAGAGAGACGGCCGGAGCGGGAAATCTGTCCGATACGTCCGGAAAGAAGACAAGACGAAAAAGAAGAGGTACGTTGAGCTCACAAACAATTTTACGTGTTTACCTTTTAGTTCAGGGTTTTTCTACTCCTCCTCAATCAATATTGGGATTTGTACCATACCCCTTGCACGTCTGTGATGTTTGTAGAATGAAGTATGTAGCAAAAGAGCATAAACTGTGTTATTGTGTTATGTCATGTATATGGAACTCCCCCCCATTACTCCCTACGAACAGATCTCCAAGCCCCAGCTTTGAAGAGGATTTTGGTGTGAGTAAAGAGACTCTCCTCCACGGGTCCTATGCCGACTACATAAAAGAGTACTCGGCCAGGTCTGGTCGTGCCGGTGGGGGCTCTGGGCAATCCTCCAGCCACCAGCCACACCAGGTAGCACTCCTAGACCCTCCTCCGCACGCGCACACACACACACACTCGCTCTCCGTCTCTCTCTCTTCCAGACGCCGGCCATGTTGGCCAACCTTGCTGCGGCGTACCAAAAGGCACTCAACCAGTTCACGACAAAACTGGCACAGCAGGACCCCTCCAAAGTGAGCCACAGAGCCCCCTCAACCAAACTGAACCCCCCTCTCTCCCTTTTCTCTTCTTCTCATCTCTCAGATGCCTCCAATGGACCCAAAGACCTACTCTCGACTGGTGGAAGAGTTCCTTTCCAAGACCCAGGGAACTAAATCCAGTCACCGCTAACAAACTCTGCCTTGGGCCGAGCTAATGTCGGATCAATTTTTCTCTATGTGATGCCTTTCCTCTTGAGAAAATGGTTGAACAGTTAATTTTGCACTTGGCGCGCTCGCTTTCGCGTGTTTACGTAACGAGCTGGGGGAAGCCCCGTAATAAACGCGGGTACGCCTTGCAGCGGGGAGCGATGTGGAAGGGGCATTGTCTCTACGTCTTTGTGGCGGTGGTTGGGGTTCTTGCACTCCAAAAAGCCGTCTCTGGAGCTGGCGAAGCGTCCTCTACCGCTGGAGGGACCCGCACTAGCGGCCTTCGCAATGGGGACGGCGGCGGTAGCGGACAAACGGAGCGTTTACCTGCACCCAAGCCACCTCCGCCTCCTACTTCTGCGCCTCCTCAGAGGACGGAGGGGGAGCAGATCGCCGATTTCCCTCCTCGGTCCTGGTCGGCGCGGCCTGGCATGAGTGCAGGAAAGGACCCGGGGGACTTGCAATCAGAGCCAAGGGATGGTGGAGATGGCGGGGCAGAAGAAGGGCAGTGCTTGGCTGACGACCAGGTATTCACTGCATGCTGGAGTGTAGTACGCGAAAGTTGTGTCTTTACGCAAAATCCATAATGCTTTAGCGTATATATAGCTAATGGTGGCTTGTAAGTATGCAGAAAAGTTGTTCATTTTCTTTTCATTTCTGCTGGTGTCTTGGCTGACTACCAAGGAATGTGGGGAGCAACAATGTCAGTGGAGCTCCGACACGGGAGCTGTCTACAGCCTACAGGCATTCTCCAGCAGAGCTCTCCAGACCTCCGTCCATAACCTGAAGGGTTCCCTCCTTCGTTTCAGCTTCTGCTCCGAGATCACCTGCAACGGAAGACAGACGCCCACCTGTCTCAATGTTCCGGGAGTCAAACTGACCTCAACCGGAGTTACGTCGTCGGTGACCCCCATCGAACCCCACGTCCCGGGGAGGGGGTTCAAACTGGTCCTCACCGACGGAGACGTCTGCGAGGTAACCGGGAAACCGCGCACCACGACCTTTCTTCTTCCCTGCAGTCCCAACTCGAAACACCGCGTGGAGAATTTCAGAGCGATGCGAGCTATGGAGGGCACGAAGGAGAGCGTGTGTCGGTACATGGTTGAGTTTCCCCCCACTCAGTTTGGGTGTCCTGTGGATGGTGGTGGCAAACCCACCCTCACTGCTGGTGAGAACTTCGTTTCTTCCCTCTCCTCCACTTTCTCCCACACAGCACACTTGCTCCGTGCAGTTTGTGGGTCTGCACGCACAGACACAATATTCGCAGCTGTCCATCAAATTATGTCACTGTTTCTGGAGCAAAGATTAAGAGCATTACCATTAAAAAGAATTTATGTGCCATTAAAGGGGGAAGGGGCGATTACGGTCTTACGTGACAAACATTTGAGGAGTAATCTATGCGCGGTCGAGACGTGAAATAGCATTTTTGCAGGTTGTCGGCTCATGGTGTGACGGAGGGAGGCAGGGGTGCGGAGGGCACGGAAAAGAACAAAAGCACGAGGGAAAGGGGAGGCGTTCGCAAGTGGATGTACCACAGGAACCCCCGCATCAAAGATGAGATTATAACGAACTGTGGTGCTCACCCAGCGAATAAACACACCTAAGGGGCAAACTGGGACTGAGTCGACGCGGCAGTATAACGCGCCGTAAAGATGGAAAAGGAAAACGTGGAACTACGCGACAAGAATCATCGAAGCTGAGTCTCCACGGCCCTCCTCAAATCTACACCCTCTCGGTCCCGATGCTCCGAGAAATCATTCTAGTATTCTAGAGCCGTGCAGAAAGACTGAGTAGTGAAGACAAATGACTTGATAAAAGTTAAAAGTACCCGGGTTAAGAAAACAGAAGGAGACCATCAAAAATACGTACGGGGCTTGTCTTGGTGTACGATAAAGTTTACACCCACTCAAATGTACTGGTTGATAGAGGGACCGGGGAGGGAAGGGTTAGACGTGGGCGTGCTATGACAACAAACCAGAGGGGACGAAAGGGTGTGATGGATTGGATGGTGCCGTGAGTTTCAAGACCACACGATTGACGTGTTATGGAATATTCAGAGAGAGAAGTTTGAAAAAGTGTTACGGCGCTAGTATTTTTGAGGTTTGGAGGGGTGTTGGAATGAAAGAAGGAGATTGAGCGATGATTTGTATGAAAGTACAGGCCTGTGCGATGACTAAGGCACCAGCGCCACGGGGAAAACAATTGTCGTCACCGAGGTCACGCAACCCACATCAAAAGTTGTTAAGTCACTGGCCTCTCCATTAAAAACACGTGCGATTGATCCCTTACTTTTAAATAGGGAGAGCCTGGGAACAAGGATACAACAGGACTTTTTTTTTTACTTCCACCTCTGTTTTCTCAGGGTGGGGGTTCACAAGAATGCTGGGAAAGATGGGGAGAACTCCGTGTTAAGGTGTGGGTTTGATCCGAAAGCCTGAATACTGGTTGTGAGAGTGGTGGTTGGTCGACCCTTCGAGACCAGGTTTGCTTGGCTATGTCCAATACAAAAACACAATGCTGGGGCATTCGCTCGTACGGGCCACCACGGTCGACCGGGAGATACTAAGCATGATAGCTCGCAAACCATCGTACAAGATCCTCGGGGACAGTGAAAACCAGGCTTGTATGGGTGTAGGGTGATGTACTATTAGGCAGAAAAGAACACATCTCGTTATTTTGTCAAAAAATTGTGGTGCACTTTCTCAGAAATGTGGGGGGGTACGGGATTGTGTACGCGATTCAAGCGTTTTCTTTCTCAAGATGTCGGTATGACGTGGAGTAGGAACTGAGTTAAAAATTTATTTAGGAAGAACCTACAAAGCATTGTGTTGGAACGTTTGATAAATGGTGTCAAAGATAGTACTTGGTAGTTTTTTCGAGGTCTTGTGTTGAATACTGCTACAGGTCGTGTGTGACGTTCTCTGTAATATTGATTATGTAGGGACAGCTCATCAACGGGGGTCCACGAGGCATCTCAGCCAAATAACCTCGGACGAGTAGAAAGCATACATTAGAGGCAAAGTCTGCTCTCTATATCTCTATCATCTAATCTCTCTACTGCTCTATATCTATCTGTGGAGAGACTCTCTCTCTTATAAATATCTCACTATCTATCATCTGCTATCATCTACTACCTCTCTATCTATATGCTTACGATCACGATCATATCTCTATATCCCTCTTCTTATCTTCTATCTCCTCTCGCTCGCTCTCTCTCTTCTCTCTCAGTCTCATAGTAGTAGTGTTCTGTTCCAGAGCCCATTTGAGGCAGCTCAGGTAGGCCTGGAAAGAGCACGGAGCTCTCAGGGAACTCTTTGTCATCATCGATCGACGAAATTGACGCCATCTGCCAAACCTCGAGGTATCAGCAGTGGGGACGTGTGTGCCCGCCATCCTTCTCTCTGTCCATCTCACCTTATCACTTCATTGGGCAATAAGCTCCGTGTCATTGCACACACATCATAAAGTAATGAGTTCATAGACCTAAAAATGGAAGTGAACGTTTACTCCGCAAATTCGTGGGGTAATTTTGTCGTGGAAAAAGTGGGTAGAGCATATTCAATCTTATACTTACTATATGTTTGGCCGAGAGAGAGAAGAACAGACCCGACTGTTTAGTAACTTGCCACGGGATGCTACTCCTTCACAGATGCTAAACCTATATTGTGCCGACTGTTTTTTAATGGGTAAGACGACCAGTCTGTCCGCGGGCGTAGTTGCGTACGATGCTCTAGTGAACCAGCTGCTGACGCTAACTGGACGGGTACGGCGGAACGAGGCACAACAACACCATGGTGGTCGGTCTCACCAACGCAGGCGAGCTCCTCGATACTGCCCTTCTGCAGGACCGGGATGGTAGACTGCGAGTCAGAGTAAGAGCGCGTTCATGCCTTCATGCCACTGGTTCTTACTCTCTCATCTGAACGAGATAAATAAGCATAGTACTTGAATAATAAGCCTGTTATAGCTGGGTCCTATGACAACGTCGTAGTGACACCACGTGAAATACGTGCTCAATTACGTCACTTCTATAAGTATCATTTCTCACAACAGTGATCGACGCTCGACTTCCGAATCTTGTCCCACAGGTTTGAAGTCCAGATTGAAGTCAGTCTCCGGACGAAGAGAGGAGAGCGAGGAGATTTTTGAGATCCACACTGCGCTCCATGCAGGCAGCGGATGCTGGGCGGCGGACGTGGATCTGCCGACAACTGCAGCTGCCACGGGATCGATTCAGTGGCGCAGAGATTGCTGGCGTCGTCAGATCTGCCTCTGCATTTGCGCCCTGCGAGCGATATGTATGTTTGTGTAGTGGTGTCGTGGTTTGCATGACCAAGAGAGTGTGGCCCATTTGGAGCAAGAGAGTGCAGGCAAGCTTCTGTCTCTGCATAGCGTGATGGTAAGGAGGCTCATCATGTGTAATAGTAGTTGCTGATGACGTCATATGTTTGCAGAAGTAGAACAACAGAGCTTTTTTGACCACTACTAATAATATGTTTTTCTCTCTCCTCCTCCTTCCTCCTCCTTCCCCTCTCTCTCCCTCCCTCTCGCCTGGTGAAATCCACAGCAGTCCATCTCTCAGTTCAGAGGAGAGTGTTCTGGTGACAGCTGCAGACTTCCACAGGCCATTACTCTCCATCAAACCCAGCCTACACACACTCCGAGGCAAGTTAAAACTCTCACCAAAGGAACTTGTCGCGAAATTTTCCGTGATGCGGTCGACCAGCGAGCACGACACACTATCACTTCTACGTCCTGTTTTCATGTATCCATGAGTATGGTGTACAACTTATGCAGTAATGCTTCTCTCGGACAATGAAAATAACGCATTTTTGCACCGGCAGAAAGCAAGCTATGCACTGTAGTTTCATGCTACCTATACTGTATGGATGATCTCTCTCTCTTCTCTCTCCCTGCCTCCAGAACCAGGTGTCCTCGATGTACCTGCCGCACGGCTACCTCAGCTGCGGAGAGTCCCACGACACAGTGGTCCGTTTGACCCTTGACCTCCTCCACATGCTCAGACACAGCCCCGCCAGTCAGATACAGACGTTGTTGCTATATGGTCCACGGGGTGCGCAACCCTCCCCCCATTCAGACATTTCGTATTTACTGTGTTTTTATGTTTTCAGGTAGCGGCAAAACTGCACTAGCAGCTCATCTTGCAATGGTTGGCAAATTCTCCTTTGTAAAGGTATGTGCATCTTTGTCCATTGTTTATCGCCATTTCTAATGCTCTGTCGTCTCAACACTACGATGCACACTTGGTTGGCACCACAAATGCCTACACGCTAATTCAAAAATGTTAGCGGATTGTTCACAAATGTTTCACATAATTGGCATGTTTTTATTGCTCTTCTTCATCGATCACCTACCCCCCCTCACCCCCAGTTCCTGTCAGCCTCATCAGTGGTGGGGCGATCCTCTCTCCACAAGATGGAGGCCATTCACGCTGCGTTCTCTGGTGCCTTCTCTTCCTCCTCCTCCTCCTCCTCCACTGACCTCTCCCTTGTTGTGTTGGACGATCTTCATCGTCTGGTGGAGTTCATGAAAGTCGGCACTCAAATCACAGTCTCTCACGAACTACTCCACACCATCACCACTCTCCTTACATCTCCCATCCCTACCGGTCTGTCGAAATTTTTTTCTCAGAGTATATATATACTACATAGTTGGTCTAGATTTTTTGTAAATGAGGCTCCCGAAAAATTTTTGCCAGTTCACAATTTTTCGTGGGACGTCGAAATGCAGAAATTGTGCATGTAGAGTGGATCAAAGGGTACTATGGACTGTTCACGTTCACTGGCAAAAATGATAATTTTCATTTTTCTCATTGGGATATGTTTGTTCTACTGCTCTTGAGCACTATATCAATGATGATGTAACAATGATGTAATGATGATGTATGCAGGATTGAGGGTGCTAGTGGTGGGGACGTTGACGGTGGAAGAGGGCGTGGCTCTGGAAGACCCTCAGTTCCTGGGTCTTCCCAATCTCTTCCTCCATCACCACCTCGTCCCTCTATTGGACTGCGACGCCACACTCTCCTTCCTCAATGCCAGCAACATTCACAAGTAGCTATGTGCTGAATTTTCATTTCTCCTCTCTCTTCTCTCCTTCTTCCCTGCCCTTCTCTCTCCTCTCTTCTCTGATTTGGTCTCTTGATGCCAGCAACATACATACGTAGGTATAGTAAGTTCTGTCCCTTCACAGATTTGGGAGTGGCCAGTTCTCCCTGCCGTCCAACCTCCTTGTGTCAGTTCGACAGCTCCATCAGGCCATCCAGTGTGCCTGCGTCCATGGCAGCTGCTCGTCCGATCACAGAGAACCTTCTGTCGTCAGACAAGACCATCTCCTGGACTGCATCATGGCCTCGGTTACCAGGTGTGGCCTCACTGATCAGGACACACCTCACTGATCAGGACACCTCACTGATCAGGACACATCATGATTAGGACACCTCACTGATCAGGACACCTCCCTGATTAGGACACCACTGATCAGGACACCTCACTGATCAGGACACCTCACTGATCAGGACACCTCACTTATCAGGACACCTTACCAAGTAGAAAACCTTGCCTGATCCCAATAGTCAAAGAAAAGCAGTCATTTTGAACCATCTACAAATTGTTGCCAGCCCCATTACTCCCTCAACTGCAGGCAAATGGCAGCGCTGGACACGGAGCTGTGACCGTGTCTGAATGACTAGTCATCATATTTATTGCATAAACTGCAGCAAGTTTTAATTTTCAGTTTCATCTTGTCTACTACTAAGAATGTGTTTTTTTAATGCATCGAGCTGCATGATGCAAGTACGCACTGTGCGTATGCAAAGGATTGAAACTTGAACCATACAAAGTGGAATGCTGTATGTTTTAGCCATTGGATGGCTCTGTATCCAAGTGTGATTAAACATAAGTATGATGTAATGAGAAAATACGTTGGCTTGGCTACAGACCGACATTCGCACGCACTACTGAGTGCATCTTGGGGAGATTTCTAAGTTCTCCTTTACTGTGTCACCTATTTTGGTATACACACTTTTGAAGTTCTTATTGGAAGGTATCTTGTCAGAGGTTTACTGTAGCCTGAATGAGTACACTGCAACCGCATGTGTACAGCTTCTGCCAACTGCCTAGCAACGTGGCAAATTCTTACTGCATTGCCTGGCAACCTCACTACTTCCCTCTGGGAGAAATCTCCACTAAACAAGGCTGCTTCGTGTACCAATGACATCATGCTTATTGTTGCTAAAAATAGGCATTAAGTCATACATTGCCTGAAACCAATGTATGATTGGTAAAATGTAAGTGTTACAGTACACTGCATAGTACATAATGTTATCTCATAGACCGCAGAGTATAATGGAATTAACCTTATCCCTTACAAGTTGCAGCAGTTAATTGCAGCAATAAAATGTGTGAATTTCTGTGACAATGGACACAGGGAAAATGGAACTATGTGAAAGTACTCCTGAATCAGAACTTGCTGCGGCATTAACCTCTGCGCTATAATTGAAGGGGTCAGAGTGGGCCAACCCTCAATTGCCGGTTTTCCTTCTTATAGAACAAAAACCGGCAAGAGTTGTATATTGAGGGTTGGTACAGTTAGCACTCATCACATATGCCAATTGTTTTATGTTGCGCAGTAGGTTGATGGTGCATCTAGTCTGAGGCATGCCAATTGGTCATTTAACAATGAGAACCGTAATTACGACATTCATAACCACATTCACTTAATTAGATCGGGGTGCATTACGATATTCCAAACCGCACGCCTAATTGATCAGATTTTAGTCCGAGAGACAATCAGTTAGGGAGCAGCTGGAACGAGGGGTAAATTGATAATGATAAGGACCCGACGGTGTCCATTCCACAGTGTATATAGCAAGAGAAATCAGTTGCATGAACATTTGGAATTCAACATGCGGTTAACAAAGGCATGCATTGGCGAATGCCCAGTTAGAAACACGGTGTGAGGTTAATGCAAGTAATACGATGAAACACGGTGTGTGGTTAATGCAAGTAATACGATGAAACACGATGTGAGGTTAATGCAAGTAATACGATGAAACACGATGTGAGGTTAATGCAAGGTTTGCAGATGTACAGTAGATTAGAGCTCAGCGTCCCAAAGTACTTTGACATGTGTTGTTCGTTACTACGATGCTTTGCCTGCAATTGTCCAGAGTAACGCCGAAAAACACGACTGGAATCCTCAATGGCTTCTGTGGCCACACTTACTTCAGGAAGGACATAGACAGATCGATCCTATGGCTGTCTGTAATGCTGGACGTGGGTAGTCAGACAATGCACTGGGACCAGTAGGATCTCCCGGTAACTAGGAAAATGACACAGCTTTCTACACTAGCTGTGGTGAACTGGTAGCAGTAACTAGGAAAATTACACGGCTTTCTACACTGTGGTGAACTGGTAGCAGTAACTAGGAAAATGACACAGCTTTCTACACTGTGGTGAACTGGTAGCAGTAACTAGGAAAATGACATGGCTTTCTACACTGTGGTGAACTGGTAGCAGTAACTAGGAAAATGACATGGCTTTCTACACTGTGGTGAACTGGTAGCAGTAACATAATAATGATTTGTAGTGTTTGTGCAAGCTAATTGCACCTGCTGGTTTCCAGGATTGTGAGCTAATGTTGGGACAGCAAGGGAAGAAAACGGAACAGAGAGAGGGAGAGAGACGGAGTCCAGGGAAAGACAGAAGAAAGCAAGGCGTGAGAGAGGCAGTAGTAGCTAAAGCAAATCCTAAGAGATGAAGAAGGAGGAAACAATTGAGTGGTTGATTGTAACGAGAAGCGTTTGTAGTCTGCCCTAAAATTCCATTCCTCAAGTGCAGCGGGTGTGTGGCATGCAGCCAGGTTGCACTGGAAACAATGGTATTAGCCTCCAATCAACTGTCCGTGCTGCATTCCTGAGGTTCCAGCCAACACGCGTCTGTCGCTACGGTGGCAGTAAACATCGCATTACCATTGTGTCTCGCCTTGGCGTCCTAGCACAGTTCCAAGTGTGACCAGCTAGCTAATATAGTCCTGTTACGAACTAGTGTATAATGTCCACACAGAAGAATTGACTTCATAATTAATGCGTAACATAATTATTGAGTCCTTGTACACAGATGTTCTTGTACATGATCTATTATGCCAGTGGATGGATAATGAAGGTCATTATGCACCTAGCAACCGAGAAACAGTGGTCTTAGTTACCGTACACGTTGCTGGAGGCTAAGGCATTCGTCTCCATCTATACCTAATGCATTACCTCAGCCACGCCCCCAGCGTGTGTGCAATGAGTCGACAGTTTTGCCAGCTTAATTTGCAGGTCAACTGTCAACCCTACGATGGGAGACGAACCCCCAAATTAATTACTGGAGAATTAACAAACCTCGCGTGCACTTTATTCTCAGCTAAGATTATGCGCCGCCCCATTCTAGTATAATTATTATAGTATATACTAGCTTATGACACCTGCACTTGCGGCTTTTCTGTCATCTCAAAAACTGATCACTAAAACGTAGCGAAAGATAACAATGGAGAATCTGTGCCAAATAACTGATATAATACACTATATACACACAGTAATCATAGGTACATTCATAAAATACATACATATGCTAATGTATAATTATACAATAGGCGAGAGACGTGTGTTGTATGGACAGGTGAAGTGGGGGATAGGCAACTCTCTATCATGTGGTGCTCTCTCTGTGTGATAAAATAATAATAGAATGTGTCTTTCTTTGTGTAGCAGATCTTGAGGGAGGGAGAGAGAGGTGATCAGATCTTTATCTTTGCCCGCTTGATCTGAGGAGCTTCATCATCTTCTGCATAGACGGAGAGGGGAAAAGTTAGTATTGGTGGGTGGAAAGAAGGACCACCAGGGAAGAGAAAGAGCTGGCTTGAGAGAGGTGTACCTGGAAGATCTGAGATAGAATCTCCTCTACTGGGGACTTGACTGAAGACTCCTCTTGAATGGCCAGAGAACTGGAGCAGGAGGGAAGGGAGAGGAGGGAGAGAGGGGCAGGGGGACGGGAGAAGAAAGAGAGAAGAAAGAGAGAAGAGGAGGAGAGATAAAATTCACGTGTACATACATTAAACAAACCCTCCTTTGTATGACATTTTTCATGTGCCAAAAGCTGAGTGGTATAATAATGCTGGGAACTAAGACAGAACAGCAGCTTCCAGGAAAATGACATGGGCACTTGGCTTGCTCTACAGGTCAACTAATGGAGCCTGATATGCCACAATCCGGCTTCCAACAGTCTTCCATAATGGAGAAAACTTTTCTAGGAACGAGAGAAACCCGCTTTGTGAGGAAGGTGCGGACTAATAGATGAACCATTGATTTTTGGCAATTTCAGGCTGGCTGGATTCTAGGAACTAATAGGACATTAGGGAACTCTTTGAGGCTGTCCATGAAAAGGCCACATCCATCCCAATGCAGATTACTGGGAGCCTCTTTCTCAGAAGGCTGTCCCAGTAATACATAGGCAGACAGTCCTTGAGGCACTATTTTACCTGCAGCTATACATATATAGAACTACCCATGAAATTCTGAGCCAGCAGTGAGTATGGATAGATCCTGTATATACTCTGTTTTAGTTTGCATTGCCCTGTCGCGCCTTGCTGCCTTGCCGCATCGCGAGGACAGAATCCATTTCTGTCTTCGCGGCACACTGCGACGCGGTACGCACGAAGGGATATTGTGAACCTAGCCTCATGCGTAATAGAGGAAAGCTGTGTGTACGTTTTGTATGTATGTACATACCTCTGACATTACGGCGATGGGGGTCTTGCCGGAGGACTTGGCCACCTTGTGCTCGATGAGGTAGAACATGTATTCATCGTAGAGGAGGCGGATGAGGTGGAACGATCCGAAACTAGCGGCACTGCGCAGCGTCAGGTCTCGTATCACCATCGAGCTGCACAAAGACAAGGACAAGACTGAACTCCTGTACTGCCACACAACACTACCATACTTATAGCGATAGATGCAGACTGTACGTATGTACACGTATAGCCTCCAAGTTTATTCAAACTGGGCTTGCTGAAAAACTCTGCAAGAGGACTTGGGAAACTGGTTGCAATATCATCTCTCAAACTGGCCAATCTCAATCTCTCAAACTGGCCAACGCTACGCATGCTGCACACACGGACCTGTAGAAGGACCACTTGAGGAGAAACTGCCGGGCGGCCTTGGTGAACTGGGCCCCATTGGCATAGGCTCTAGCACGGTGTGGACCACACTCTCCAGCCAAGAGGCCCACTGCTCCAGAGAGTTCTGCTGCTGGAGGGTGCTCTTGAAGTCCTGCTCCAGGCGGGCGACTAGCGTCTCCTCGCACTCGCACACCCACGACGCTTGCTCCTAGGGAACCAGAGACGAAAACACTGACACTCTATACAGAGATAGAGATGCTTAATGTTGGAATAGGTCTAAGTGCGCGATACATACAGACAAGGCTCAGAGAACCCCCACTACTACATGTCAATATCCTGTCCTATTCAACTATACTCTACTATGATACCATTATGACGCCAATGACCTTTACCTGCCACACACATTCATTATACAGTACAAGTTGAACTGCAAGCGGCGGGCAGGTGTTACCTGGACATTGGCAAAGTCGACTCGGTTGAGATCTGCCAACATCTGACTGATCTGAGAGGGATTCTGCAGGACGGCGCGTGCTGCCTGGGCCAGGTGGTTGAGAGACGTGTAGCGACGCAGCGTCTGTGAGAAGGCCACCACGGAACACACCTGGGGGAGGGAGGAGAGCAGAGGAAAGAGAAGAGAGAGAGCTATAATGTATGATGTCATTACGGGAACAGTCCCCATTGTTTAAAAGGTTATTGTGTGTGTGCGAATGGTAACTGCTACAAACTGGGAATGGAAAAAGTGTAGGAAGTTCAGCTGGCAGTATAAAGCCAATTATCCATAGACACCGTACATACCAATCTACCACCAGAGCAACGAAGACAGGAGTATAGAGTACAGAGCGAGGTATTGTCTGATGATTGAACTGCCACTAACCTCCCTGGCAACCAACCAGAGGGACAGACATAAACACCGCCCGTGCCTTCCAACAGCTTATAAACATTTACATAACAGGCATGTTCCCGAAAACAAGGGAAGGGGAGGCTTAATTCGGGAGGTGCCACGCGGAGCTAGTGCTGAGCCTGGCTCGTGCCAGCAGAGTACAAACACCGGGCCTGTCCCAGCAACTGTCTGGAGGATGTGGAATCTGCACTAATCTTTCTCTCAGCACAGCTGATCTGCTAAACCGATCTGCTAAACCGATCAGCATCGAAAACAGCTCTGGCCTCCCCCCTCATCATTCGACTCTCCCTCCTATATTCTCAATAGCTGGGCGTTCTAAACAGCTGGGTGACCTTGTGACTCCCTTGGGCATCATCCAACACCCCTATTATAATCTTTGCACTACTATACATACAACTGACAAATGAGTGTCCCCCAATAAGATGTGTGGCCCCTTAATTATGATGCCGGGAAATGATGATCAGGTACATGTATAGAGGTCAGGCATACGCCCACAGACACTGGCCAATAAGGCAAGGAACTGGCTGGCTGGCAAGCAACCAGATTAATAAGATTATGCAAGCCACGGTTGCCGGGCAATGCATCAGCTGTAGATTGGAATCTCGTGTGGGAATTATGTGTTTGGGTTAATGAAGAACCAACAGAATGCCTAGAGCTGTGGACTGCCAGGCCCCACCAGGTGCTGCAACTACTCTCTCCCCAATTTGGGTTAATGAGCTTCTGTTGTTTCTCTGAGGCCACCGGAGAAGCCAGTCCTAGTTGGAGCTATAGTTGAACAAACAATCTTTACAGTCACTCATTGCACAAACACACACACACACACACACACACACCGAAGCAGTATAGAAGTAGTATACTGTATAGTAAGCAGTATAGAAGTAGTATACTGTATAGTAAGCAGTATAGAAGTAGTATACTGTATAGTAAGCAGTATAGAAGTAGTATACTGTATAGTAAGCAGTATAGAAGTAGTATACTGTATAGTAAGCAGTATAGAAGTAGTATACTGTATAGTAAGCAGTATAGAAGTAGTATACTGTATAGTAAGCAGTATAGAAGTAGTATACTGTATAGTAAGCAGTATAGAAGTAGTATACTGTATAGTAAGCAGTATAGAAGTAGTATACTGTATAGTAAGCAGTATAGAAGTAGTATACTGTATAGTAAGCAGTATTCATGTTAGTGAAAAACAACTTATGCAATTTGCATGTTAGTGAAAAACAACTAACCTATGATTGTGTCTGTGGATTGCTGTATATATGTATGCAAATGTGTATGGCTACCTTGGACTTGACGAGAATGGGGGAGTAGCCGTGGACGGTGCCTGTGAGCCAGGACTCGAGGCTCTTGGCAAAGTTCCGGATGGCCTGCGTGAGTGTGCCTGGAATTGGCCGGAGGACGTTGGGGATGAGAAAATCTACGATGCCCTGGTAGAGGAGGTAGTCACAGGCACTGATGTAGTCTGTGACGAGGTCCAGACTGGTCAGGAGGAGGAGTTTCTCTTTGGGTAGCTGGTGTTCCATCTCCTCGTCCGGAGCCCCATCCCTGGAGGCAGATCAGAAATTCAGAGGGAGAGAGAAAGGTATATAAAACAGAGAGGGAGGGAGGGGTAAGGCAGGAAGAGAGGGAGGGAGGGAGGAAGAGAAGGAGGAAGGTAAAAAGACAAGACTAACACAGTGCATTCCCAGCCGCTGACCCTAATTTGAGACCTAGACATCTCTGCCACAAATTGCCACCACACAATTGTCTGAGAGGAAGCTAAACTACAACTACTCTGAACACCATGATATTATCCCATCATCTGAACTCTGAACAATAAAACAGCACAGGAAGCTCTGACTCAGACACTACACAAATGTAAATAAGTGTCTCTCTACTAACAAAACTACTCACTATCAGTAGATAATTCTAGTACAATAGCGGTGGGCCAGATCAAAGAACAACAGCTGAGTGCTATTCCAGCTAAATTTGCGGTGGTCTCCGCTTATGAGAGCTACAGGCATGCCATGCTCTCTCTGCTACCCCCAGGCGTTGCCAGGAAGTACATACAATCCATAGGATGACTGGTGTATTGTTACTGGCATAGGAAATGATAGTATCGGGTCATCAATGATGCCTTGTCTGCAATGTGGTTGTGCTAACAGATCACAGTTAACCCAGCTGAGCACCCAAGACAGTTGATGTGTATATACAATCCTATAGCTCTCCCACACTATACGCAGTATGATAAAACGGGTGTATTTGACGGCCAATAATAAGACACAGGGACAGAACTTGGTGAAGGAAAGAGAGGCTTACATGGCAGGCTTTGGGTCGGCCCAGAAGTGGTGCCACAGGTTCTCAACCATCTGAAACTGGAGGTTCACCACCACATCCAGTATAGCCTGCATGGAGTCAAACAGCGCAAGATTGATCATCGAATTTTGGACACAGATTCGAATGCTCCTAAGAGCAGGGGAAATGCTTTACTACATGCCAGACTTCACAATCTTGGGGCAATAGTACATGTGGACACTTGGTCTTTCTAGTCAACATATGTAATTGGTCCAGCCATTATGGTAAATCCATCATCAACAATTTTAATAGGGAGGATGGGTGTAGTGTGAAGTATGGAGTGTGTATGTGTGTGTGGGTGTGAATGGCTTACCTCACAGTGTTCTCTATAGTTGGCAGTGAAATCACCGAGATCCTCCGGTGTGAGCCCACCTGAAAGCCAACAAGCCTCATTACAGAAATCCCACAAAAAAGACTGTATTTATGCAGACTGAATATGGATAATGGCATGCAACTGCAGAATTGAAGCAGATCCTTAGTACTATTATGCTTCAAAGCCACCGCTAAAAGCAGTAGCTAATGAGAGAAGCTGGGAAGAGAAGGGAAGTGAGAGATAGAGGTTATTGAGGTCAGCTAGAGGAAATTTTTGCAGAGGAGCTCCTGGCTTCCTGGTTACGGGACCAGATCAAAGTGAGTGTAGGGAGGATATGGTTGTGATTTCAGGCAGGCCTCAGGCACTACTGCTTCAAACCACCAGAGGGCCACTGTTGTAACAGTAGTAGGGATTCTATATACCAATTTCAGAGGTTGATTGCAATCACTTGGACAAGTACTCAGGGTGGTGGGGCTAAAGGTCTGTTGTCACAGCTAATAAATTGGCTCTATTCTCTCTACAAGGCCAATGTAAACTGGCATAATTGTCTTGGAACAACCGTGGCCACTCATCCATACTATACCCCGGTCTCTGGTGAGAAGTGTCTTTCAACTGACCAGGGAGAGGAGAGCTGGACCAGGCAATCTCGGGGAATGGAACGAGCTCCGGCCGGCCGTCTCCGAGGTACTGGCGGTGCTGCTGATGTGGAGTGAGCTCAGCTGGCTGCGACGCTCCCTCGGGGCCTTCTGGAGTCGACTCGGCGGTGTGGTACTCCCCTCTGGAAACAGGAGAGAGAGATAGAGAGGAGAATAGGAGAGAAAGAAGTGTATAAACAGAAAGCTTGCTTCACTGGCAAAGTTCACAGACAGTGGTAATGACACACGGGGGGAAGGAGGTGTATTGATATGGTTGGTAATATGGTTGGCCCCTATAATCTCAGGCAATCATAAGAAGATTACCTCACAGCCACGCACTTGTATACGCTATTGGGTGCAGTCCAGCTCTGTGCAATGGAGACCTGGGTGCTAGGAAGCTTGAGGAATAGTGGCAATCTACAGTCTACCCACCCATTCAGAGATAGGTAGACACCACACTAGGCTGTTGGAGTGGAGGAAGGATGGAGCCAGGAGGAGCAGAGCCAGCTAGCTGCCCGTGAGACTAAACCAAAGGAGGGTGGTCCTTATCAACAGGAAGAGGGAGGCAGAGGCTGTGGTTTAGAGCCCTCTCTCTCGCCCCCTTACTTCCTCACACCTGTAGACACACACACTCGCCCACACCTTCCCCCTCCCTCTCCCTCTCACACTGTGTTCTAGCAGTCTGATGAACAACCTACCTTTGTAGGTACATATTTTCAGTAACACCTAGCGTTGTAGAAAGGTTTTCCAACTATTTTCATAGCGTATATATGAAAAACTGCTACAATCCAGGCTACTACAAACAGCTAAGTCAGAAGATGGATCCCAATAGTACTGGTGTTGTGGTTCGCGACAGAATCAGATGTAAAAAACAGATATCAGACTTCAATAGCTATTTAGATGAATAGGTGTCTGAATAGTACGAGGATGCACAGAACTCAGTCATTCCCACCCACAACTCACTGACACTATGTGATACTATAACCGTGGAAATAGCTCTCTATTGCACACGGAGACTGTTGTGGGTTGGAGGAAGGAAACTTGGAGAAAAGAGAGACTAACTGTTGATGGCCCAGACACAAGAGCAGTTTGTATGGGGAAAATGTAAAAACTGCCCATTCATTTCTACTACTGAGGCCAGGAAGTAGAGTCTATCACCCCCGATATATACGAAGGCATTGCTAGAGAGGGAGGGAGAGAGAGCTGGATTGTGTAGGTTCAGGTGAGTGAGAGTATTAGCCAAAAACAAACGTTCAGTTGAAGTTCTCGCAGAGAAGAGGACCATACATAGGCCCAGACGGGGGAGAGAGAGAGGAAAATGGAGAGAAACACAACACAAGTAAACACTGAACTAAACTCCTGGCACACCGGAGAGGGCGCTCGGCTAAAGGCTCTCAATAACTCCAAATCCAATTCCCCACTCAGGCGCTTCCTAACCTGTAGCAACGACGTCACTAGATTGGCATCCCCAGCCGGCCAAAATCCAGGAGAACTAACAAAACAGTGTGAGCACTCGGCTACCAGGGAAGGAGAAACGGAACGAAGGACGCCGGCAGGCAGGTCCGATTATAGCGTCTCACGGAGGGCCGCTGCGTACATGTTATTATAATTAGCACTACGTATTAGGTGTATAGGACGTGGGGGCATTAAACGGATAAGCACGAAATAAACGAGGTGAAATATTGTTATTCCTTGTCGATGGCCTGGAAAATCGTGTAAGTAAGTTTGGTAATGTGCAAAGTGACACCAGTGTCAAATGACGCGACTGTCTAAAATGTGGGAAGTGACACCAGTTGCAAATGGAAAGTGCTACAATTGGCTATTGTATATACCTCTGGGCTGATTGGGGAGGTTGTCTGATGGCGACCACACTGTCGTCTGTTGGGAACGTGTTGAGAGGAGAATCAGGCTTTATCCGTATCCCGTAGTAGTGATACTTTGAGTTCCCTCTGTCGGTGTGTGGAAGAAACACGTGGTGGGAAAAGAAATAAGAGATTAGGATGCGGATATGTTTGTGTGTGGGTCCCAAGTTGAAACCGTAGCCTGTAGCTGGTGAGTGGCTGGGGCACGCAACTGTTGCGCTAGATACAACATGCTCTTGTAGTTGAAAGTGCATCAACAGATGTTACGCGAGCAACGTGCCCCCTTCCCATTACTCTCACCCTAATACCAAACCCCACCTATACCCCCCCTCCCTCCACCCCACACACACAAAACACTTTTGTGGTAAGGAATATTAACCTCGTTCCAAGTCTTCTGGTTTTAAGTCCGATGAAAACGGAGCGAATGAGTTTCCCAAAACTGGCAGCATTCACGGCGTCTATTTTGTTGGCGGCGCAGTGCCTGAGGTAGTGGTTGTAGAGAGTTGAGCGGGGCAGACTCACTCCCTCAGCAGTCTCATAATTCTCCAGTAACCACTGGATCTGTACGGTGAGAGAGAGAGAGAAAAAAGATCAAGCATGTGTGCAAGAGCTTGAAAACGAAGACTAGATTAATCTGGAGATGATTGAAGAGACCTAAATAGGGGCATGCAGCAGTGACGGCTGCACTAGAACCGTAATAGGGGCCCTGATACGTACGACCAATTGAAACTGCAGTAGAGAAATGACCAGTAATCGATTTAGTCGCAGGTCGAGGCTGGAGCAGGGGGCAGCGAGGTCCAAACGCGGCGGTCGAGTTTGGCCATGATTGACTGGCCCATTACCAAAAGCTGGCAGGTCACGAGCCACCGCAACAAGTTATGAGTGGGTGGACCGAAGGCATATACTGCAGTCCTCGGTGACCAATGAAAACAGGTCCATCTTACAGAGAGAGTGGTTAGAGCAATTGCTGCAGCGTGTGTGTGTCGACAGCAGCTCAGCCTCCAAAATTGGATGTGAACACGGCACTTCAATTGGACAACTGCATTGTCACCTGGTCTCTCTGCTGCATGCTAGTCAACCAGATTTGACCAGTGTACATACATACAGGTCTTAGCTCTCAACAGTAGCTAGTACTATATTCATAGAGGTACTTTTTGCAGATAGAATGGAATCGTCAGAGCGAGTAGATAAAAACAAGAGGTACGGACCTAAATCCAATTCCACGACCCTAATCCCATTACACATGTACCAGTTTGTATGTACCAATGTACCGTGCAATATGGGGAAAGAAGAGCTGCCCCAAGACTTTTTTAGCTACCAATAAACATTCCAGGTTTCCCCCTAAAGCTCTCTGCATGTGTAATCCCACTTGGCAGTGCCAACACACACAGTGATGTCACTACGACATACAGTTACACAGCATTACCAAGGCCACTGTACATAAAACTTGCAGTGGAGACTCCCCATTGCCTACTCCCAGCCCAGGGCCTGTGCTTATTTTAGGGGGATGTTGTTAAAGGTCACTACAAGATTTATCAGATCAAGAGTGTTGGAAACCACAGAGGATGGTTCAAAGAGAGCACATTTACCCCCCAGGCCTACCCAGTTAGTACAATGAAGCCACACAACTCACAGTTTCAGGGTGAGCTCGAGTGGTATGAGCCATTGACATGTGGTTTGTTGGGCCCATCTCGAGGTGTCCTAATCCTTGACCTGTAGGACACAAACACGCACATACACAAACGTACAATTACGAATGAAATCATTGTGATTATATCAGAGATGATTATCCCATAAGTGGCGGTGGGAATCCGCCTGTGTTGTGCAAACACCAAAGTGGGCGCGATAGGGTCCGCGAGACAGGGACTGCATGACTGAGAGGTGGTTAGCTGTCTGTCGGTAGTAGGCCGTGCTGGGGACCACCGTGTGTGGGATTCCTCCCATCATGGTGGCCTGGGCTCCGCTGATACACGTACTTGGATCTGTCAGATACAGAGGACCACACCCGTCTTGCCACTACTGTGTCCTTCATACGACTGCGCTCGTGCTCCTGCATTGATGTGGACGCAGAAATAAGTGACGCTTAGGTAGAGTAGAATAGATAAGAGTGTTATATGGTGCGTAAAACAATCGTTATTTTCGGGAGTAATGTTGTGACTGATGCCGGTTTCTAAGTACACAGAGACTCGCTGTTTACGCTAATGCTTCACAAAACCTCCAGCAGCCATGACGCGAGCAGGAGACCTGAGCTGCGTAGCCTTCACGCCCGTTTAACCGGGACTTCTCCGTGTCTCCAAGGTAACCGAACAAACATCGGAGAATTAGCGGACAAAGCCCGCCAAAATCGCGTTTTAGTTGCACTTTGCGCGCTGCAAAGGCTTCCTTTTCCCTTCCCTTTGGGGGCACGCCTGCAGGCCTGCCAGCCACCTACCCTGGCTTCTTGCAAGCTAACATAATTTTCTAACTCCAGAGAGGATTGCATGCAGTGGTGCAACTAACTAGCTAGGCAACTAACTAGCTATGCAGTTTACCCTGCGCAGTAGCTGAAGACCTCGGGCTCAGTCTTGATTCGCATTGTGCCAGTGGGCAAGACGGTGGTGGCCGGAGGGTAAGGATGGTAGGAACCGTACAGCGCCGGCGGGCGAGACAGAGGCGGAGGGTAAGGCAACCCTGAGGCCGTGAGGGGACCGCATTACGCTCAGCATGTATCCTTCCGCCGTATCGGAGGCTCGGGAGCTGCAACAATCCGTCTCCACGAGGCGATGATGGCGTTACAGAGAAGAGGGAGGAGCAGGTCCCGCGGCAGAAATGAATCCCGTTTGCAGACGCGATCTTTCCCTGGCTGCAAGACCGAACACTACACTCTACTCGTGACGGCAAAAACCATAGGAGGTGGTTGCAACGGGCATGGGCTAGGCTCCTTTTCGGCTTTTATATGTCCGCCGTCGACTCTGGGCACGCGGTTTTCGTTTCCCCGGTGACCGGCTACCGCGCTCAGGTATGCAACGTCCGGACCCGGACTTCCACTACTGCCCAGAGCGGGATTATGGGCTTTCGTCCCAACTACCGCCAAAAAACAGTGGCTATTTTCAGATACCGTTACTCTTCCTTGACACCAATCACAGAATCCTCTAATAGTACCAAATGTGGTTGGAGAGTCAATATTGAAGATGGACATGATATCAGTGTTCAAATTAGTTCACATCCTGTTGCACTAAAACCACCACCCACCCGTTCAGCAGCATACACCGTAGCTAAGATCGAAAATATTCACAAGGTCTGAAGTGCCATTGGCTGGTACTCTGGGAGAAGGTTGAGGTAGCAAATTGTCTCCAAGATGATCAAGTAACTTGTTTTCTAGTCCAGTATTCTCTTGCCAAAAATCCAAGTACTTATTATAATACGCAATGTTTTTGATTACCATGAATGAGAGGGACAACCCAAAGAGCCCTGCCAAGAACAGAGGTGGTAGACAGACAGAACTCGGCGTGCAAAGAAAAACAATAACTCGAGGAAAACCAAAATAAATAACGGCCGGCCAACTAAACAGCTACAGTCCTCTCCAAATAACACGAAAAAATCTTATAGTTTCCACTGTTGCAGTAAACTAAGTGAAGTGTAAAGTGACGCATTTTGCTCAGTAAAACTTACGCATAGCCTTTCCTCCCAAGGGAATTGTGGCTGTAATTCCAGTCAATGAATACGTAATACGGAGTTCCAGGAAGGCATATATTCTGCCCCCACAATTACAACGGACACCTCACGGCGGTTGCTATAATACACATTCCGTCTTTTGTGAATGATAATCTCGTGAACATAGTGCTAATGAAAGGGTCTTACCCGGTGGACGAGGTGGTTGCAGTGGTGACAGTGGGGATGGAGGTGGTGGAGAGGAGAGTCACTCCCTGGAGGGTTGGCTGAAGAACCACGTTGGATGATCTAAGTTGCTGCTGGAGCTGAGCTGCCAGGAGCAACTGCTGCTGGTGCTCCGGAGCCAACCTGATCCCGCCCAGATGAGAGAGAATGTCCTGTGACGATGCACTGACAGAGGTGGCCCCCTCGTTAAGATTCGTTGACCCAGGGGCCGGCTGATGTGTAGGGTTCCCGGCGAGGACCTGGATCTGGACTCCTCTGTTAATCCCCGCACTCTGGGTCTGCCCCGAGTTTATCAGCTGCTGAGTTTGCTGTTGTTGTTGTTGATCGGAGGAAACAGGAGGTGACGTGGACAGTTGCGAGCCTCCGTTCCCACTGACTGTGGTAGTCTGGACGCTACTGTTCATCATTGTGTTCTAACCTGGCTCCCTGCTGCGTATATACCACACCCGGTAGATGAGACAATAGGGATATATAGTGCGTGATTGAATCACCAGTGTTGTCTTGCAAGTGGCCCAAAACTGTAAGGGAAAGAGGAAGGGGGGAAATAGATGCACACACTATGAACCCCTGCTATGATTGATTGCCACGTATACACACATTATAGCAGGGCCCATGGATTTCACGCATTCTCGGGATTTTCGCATAATTTGTAACAAGTTGGCCATTCAAGCGGCACAATGAGGGCTCTGGGAACCTCTCGGGTACACTTGACTAGACCGCTTCCCACAGAGCAATAATTGGTTGGGCTCCTAGATACGAGACAATTGCACCAATTGCTGGACAACCAGCTGAATTATAACTGGGCGAAGCGAGCCTGTGTTAGTTGGACGCTGCCATTGGTTTCTGGGCTCCAAGGAGCTCTCAATGGCTATTAGGCGACCGGCGTATGGAGCTCTATTATTCTCGTGGATATGCGAACAGTGTAGGCCATGGATAGTCTTGGAGACGTGTGTGTCGGTGAATGTGGGTCAAGAGCAATACAAATACATTCAGCATGCACAGGGAGCGTAGATCTATAAGCAAACATGGAGATACAGAGAATCCACAGCAAAAGTCCGGAAAAAAATACACAAATCTGGCTAAGGAGAAAAAGATGCTTTCCATGCATCACGATAGTTATTGCACAGCACAGTCGTGTTCGAACTCTAATAATATTTGACCCGCGTCAAAAAGCTCATGTACGTACGCACATGAAACTTTAATGGTTCGGCTACAGACTGGGGAAATGCCTGCGCACAAAGTGGGTGAATGTTGAAGAGCAAGCAACGTGACCGACTGGACAACACTGTACCACACTGAGACAGTTTCTCACTGGGGATATCAAAATTCTACACACAAACTAACATATGCAGGGGAGTCACACGCTGGAACTGGGAGTAACTATGAAGGACCGTTTGTTTGTTGTCACATTTTATTCTGCATTCCTGAGGCCATAGCTGCCCCATAGCAACCACTGCCCCATGGCGCTCTTTGGATTGCCAAATACTGAGAGGGAATAATCTAATGGCAAGATTTTTTAATGCCACATTAAAATGCCAGCTGCGATACTGATCTACAGCGAGGGACGCAAGGGTCTGAGAGGTGCACCCTGCCAATTAACACTGACTATGCGAGCCTAATGCTTCAAATTCCCCGTGTCTCCAAGCAAACGCAGTCAATGGGTACTCGCAAGAACGTTCCCAAAGCCCTCCCGCGGCCTTCAACGTATGTACACAACCCACAGAGTACGCCTCCATCCGCACACAGTACATTTTTATGACCGCTTAAAATATGGCCTCCGGCCGTCTCGCCCCTTGTCACATATCCCTTCCCCTTTCCCTCTCTTCTCCCCTCATACGCTCCCGAGCTCTTTCCCCTACACACACCAAACGTGCCCCGTGGCAAGATGTCTGCCATCTTTTTGGCGTACCTGAGTTTACCGGTCTCCCGTGGCTACAGTCGTCCGAGTAACTCTGGGTTGCCTTGGTGCGTCTCTATGGTAGCCAGAGGATCGGTGAGAAAGGACCGTAAACTCCCGTATAACACCGGATACTAGAATTTACTGCGCATGCGGAAAAAAGCCCGCGGAATTCTAATCGGAGAGCGCCATTGACGATCGGGAGAGGGCGCGCGAGCTGCAACAACACGATATGTACATAAAGAAGGTGGTTCTAGAAGGTTTCAAGTCGTACGCGCAGCGGACAGAGATCGATGGGTTCGATCCACTCTTCAACGCCATTACTGGGCTGAACGGCAGCGGGAAGAGCAACATCTTGGACGCCATTTGTTTCTTGCTAGGCATCACCAACCTCTCCCAGGTAGCTGGAGATACAAGATGGGCGATCCTACCCCTGTCCAGACGCACACATGTTGATTGTTGTATATAATCCACAGTGCAATACAGCAAGAACTTGTAGTAAGCCTATATACAAACACTACCCTACTTGTTTTCACTGAGTCAGCCCCTCTCTAAAAGAAGAGAAGGGGCTGGCTCCGTGTGACTAGCATTTGCGGTACCTCTTTAAAAGAGATATAGAGATAGAAAGGGGCTGAGAATGTATTAATGCACATTAGCCTGCTGCATTTCCACGACCTTGTGTTCTTACCCGCATATCAGTCTCTCGGTCTGCTCTGTGAAGGTGCGGGCAGGGAACCTCCAGGACCTGGTGTACAAGGGAGGTCAGGCTGGGGTCACGCGGGCCACTGTCACCATCACATTCGACAACTCTGACAGTCGACAGAGTCCTCTCGGATACGAGACCTATGAGGAGATTACCGTGTCAAGACAGGTCCTCTTCCACCCCTCTCTCTCTTCTCCCTCTCGCCCCATTTATCGTCTGCTCGGTGTTGAAAGCCTGTCTCTCTCCTCTTATCCCTCTCTCTCTCTCTCTCTCTCCATCCCCTCTTCCATTTCTTGACTTCTCTCTCTTCTCTAGCGTCTGTCAGTAGATTTCAATACACACTCCTCCACACACTATCAATTCTAGAACCAGCTCTGTGATATCACTTCAGTAGCTGACTATAGTCTATACCAATCCGTCTCTCTAGTACTCAGTGACCGTCACCCACTGCCCAACTCGCTATAAAAGCTCTTTTGGTACATGCCTTTTTCTAAGACTGGCTATAAAAGGCTCTTGGCTGGACGTTGTGCGTCACTGGAAATCCACTCGAACGGTCTTTACCTCGAGAAGTGACGCCGAGAGTGAGCGACAAATCGTTTAATGGACGTCCATTGTGTTTTATTTACTCTAACACGGGTGTAGTTTGACAAATTACCGATGTGCATGAGAATGCTAACTTACACACTACAGAGAGCTTTTGGAACTACACAGGAACAGTAAAATTTTGCTGGCAGTTGGAAGGAAAGGCGAGACGAGATTTATGTTTCATTGCTTAGTGTGTTCTCTCTCTCTCCTCTCCTCTCTCCTCCCCCATCAGGTGGTGATTGGAGGTAGGAACAAGTACCTTGTCAATGGCAGTAATGCCACACCCTCCAGAGTCCAGGACCTCTTCAGATCAGTTCAGCTCAACGTGAACAATCCTCACTTTCTCATCATGCAGGTCTTTGGAGAGTTATAATACTCTCTACCTTTGTATGATCCTACAAGTGGTTTAGGACACCCTTGAAGGGAGGACACCTCTCTAATAAGGACACCTTTTCTTCCCCAAAGAACAGTTCTTGCATGCACATTAACCCCTTAAATAGGACAACCTCACTAAAATGGACAGTTTCCTCTGTCCCCCAACGTCTTTAAAGAGCAGAGTTGCTAAATTATATGCAGTGTTCCGTTGAAGAAAGCTGTGTTGTACGCTCCATAAAATATAGGTCTGTAATTAAGCTCATAGAGGCGAAAGTTAATGCACCCTAGCCAGGTCAGCAGGCTCTGATACTGTTTGACATCCAACGCACAGCCTGCCTCATGTTCCCACACATCTCACGGTGTTGAACACTAAACCTATCGTGTACCCCGAGCAATGTCACTCCATTCACCAGCGGTGTTCCTAGCCTGGTGGTCTGTTGTTGACAACACACACCATCTCTTTTCATTCCCCTCTCCCTCGTTCTCTCTCTCTCTCTCTCTGTGTGTGTTTCTTTCTCCAGGGCCGGGTGACAAAGGTTCTCAACATGAAGCCAATTGAGGTGTGGTGTTAATCTCTCCTCTACTGCCATGTTTTCAAATCCGACTCTTGCGTAATCGCACACACACACTGCCTGTGTAAACCGACTCTCAACATACAGGCTGCGATATAAGAGTGTTGAGTGTTGAACTTAGGGCACTTTAAGGTTAACAGCTGCCTAATGAGGGCAGGTAATTGGAACAGGCCATCGGGACATTTTTCATTCAATGTGACGCTAAAAATGCCCATTTTTCTTCCTTCCGTATTTACAGAGTTAAAACGGTATTCATGAACAGTTGCCTCAGGCTGGGTTATAATTTGCGGCAAGTGAAAGGTTCCTGTAGTTGTCTTCCTTCCTCTGTTCATGCCAATACCTCACTCAGATGTACATGTCTCCCACGTCTCCCCTTGTCTGTGGATATGTAGTGGTCCAGTGATATGTAGAAACCTTTGCTCATTCAGAGATTAAAGCCATTCTGAGGCTGGTTTGTAAATCAGGTCCTAACAGATACACGCTAGTACTGCATTTGCACCGTGGCCAAGTCAACTGATAGTCCAGTGGGTTGCTCATCAAAACTAGCTCTAGCTACAACCCTAACGTGTACAGGTTTAGTGACCTTGGTGGTGACATAGTAGAACAGGAGTCTTTACTAATGCGACTGGCTGCGAATCCCCTATTTCCACAGATCCTGTCCATGATAGAGGAGGCAGCAGGCACACGTCTCTACGAGAGCAAGAAGGTCTCTGCTCAGAAGACCATAGTCAAGAAAGAGAGCAAACTGCAGGAAATTCAGACGGTAACAAAACAGAAGAAGCTGTGTACTAACTGTCTCTGACGTCTACAATAATATGTAGATCCTGGATGAAGAGATCACCCCAACTATCAGGAAACTAAAGGAGGTATATAAGTGATAAACCAACGTCTATCATCACAATACCCCATGTAGTACAATATGTGTCTGTCCATGTATATAGGAGAGGTCTTCCTATCTGGAGTTCCAGAAGGTGACTAGGGAGCTGGAACATCTGAACCAACTCACCATTGCCTGGCAGTACTGGCAGGCTGAGGTATTATTATTAGTCGGCGGGTTTTTATCCTCTTGAACTACTGAATATTGTGAGATAGATGAGTGGATTGTGGGATAGATGAGTGGATTGTGCAGTTGTATAGACCTCACGTAGACTCATTGACAGATTAATATCGAACTGACAAAGCTAGAAAAAGTAAAGGTGGAACTATATGTACGTAGAATTCAAACCCCATCTACATATATTTGTGGTATTATTATGAAACCCTGTCCAATAGGCAGCTATATTATATGCAAGACCCCAGTTTTGTCTGTTACACAACACAACACTATACAATTAGACAAAAGCGTGGAAACCACAAGCGGATGTGACAAAATTTCTACTCTCCTGTCTCCCTTACCTTCCTCCCTTACCTTCCTCCCTTATCTGTCTCTCTGTCTGTGTCTGTGTCTCCTCTAGCAAACCAGGAAGCACTCAGCGAGTGATCTGGAGGACATGAAGAAAGAAATTGAGGAACTGCAGCAGAAGATTAAAGAGGTCCTCTACTCATTATGATCTGTGCCCCCTCCCCCTCACTCTCCCTCTCTCTCCTCCCTCCCTCCCTTCCTGTCTAGACCGAGGAAGACATAGAAAGACTCAGGACTGCAGCTCAGGAACTGGAGAAGAGGAGGAAAGTGGTTAGTAGAGTGAACTAAGGACACCCCTGATAATTAGGACACCTCTCTAACCAGGACACCTTTCGGAATAGTTCTTGCATGTAGATAAGACACTTCACTAATATTGGCACTTTCTTCTAGCCAACTGGTGCCAAGACTAAAGGGGTTCCCTCTCATTATCTTTCACACAGGAGAGTCAAGGACCCATAGTACAGTTGGAGAAAGAGGTGGACGGACTAGCAAAGGTATGTACGAACTATTTGCTCTCCTATCAGTCTAATGTGTGCTCCCACCTCTCTCTCTCCTCCCTCTCTCTCTCTCTCTGCAGTCTTGTGCAGTGGCAGAGGCAACTCTCCAGGCCAGCAGAGACGAGCTGGCACGGGAAGAGAAGAACCTCTCCGACATGAAGAAGACTTTCGAAGAGGTTTGCATAAATTTCAGACCTTTCCCTTACACACATGGAGATCTCTCTCCTCTTCCTCCCTCCTCCCCTCACTTGGACTGATAGTCTAGAAAACTAGTTTCTTAGCAGTTTTTGATTTACATATCAAAATGTAAAAAAATTTGGTAAATTTTATGATGGGTATGTATATAGAGTTTTGGCTCCAACTGTGAGGATTCTCCATCTCTCCCTTCTCTCCCTCCCTCTCTTCCAAACACTGCCAGGACAGCTCTCTGCTGGCCAGTAAACGGACGGAGCTGGAGCTGGCAGAGAAGGAGTGCGCTGCTCTGCAAGAGAGGAGCAGAGAGGCAGAGGAGGCTGTGAAGAAGTCACGGGCCCACTTCCAGGCGGTCACAGCCGGTCTCTCTAGCGGGTCGGACGGACAAGACGATACCCTCGCTGCCCAGAAGATCGGTGGGTGTGGCCCTCGTCGGGTTTTGGGTCGACCGATCCTATTTTTGGTCGTCCGGTTTGGCAATTGTTACGGTTGTTGTTGTTTGATTTGCAGCGTGTGAGAATGAGATTAGTACTGCTGTGACTGCAACGAAGCAGGCAGAAATGAGGTAAAATGCAAGCCATGGTACACCGTAACCTCTCCGTTTCTATTAAAGAAGCTCTTAATTTCATGGCGTACTAATTGAGGCAGCATACATGCTTGTGGTGAGGTTGTCTCCAAAGTAGGTATATAGGTAACCATATGTAACTGGGGTATATATCTGTGTGAAGAGCTTTTCTATCTAAAACGTGTTGCGGTAGAGAGTGCGTATGTATGCTCCACAGACTGCAGAGTGCAGAGGACGAATTGAGAGAGATGGAGGGAGGAGTCACTGAAGAAGCCGCCTCCTACTCTCAGCGACCGATCCTCTCTCGATGCCCTCCAGAAGACCATCGAGAAACTGGAGGTTTGCATATACTGGCATACAATCTTTGCATACTACCACACAATCTTTGTATACTACCACACAATCTGTATACTACCACACAATCTTTGTATACTACCACTCCATCTTTGTATACTACCACACAATCACTATACTGCCACGCAATCTTTGTATACTACCACACAATCTTTGTATACTACCACGCAATCTTTGTATACTGCCACACAATCTTTGAATACTACCATGCAATCTTTGTATACTACCACACAATCTTTTTCTCTCACTGTCTCTCTAGGTTTCCATGAAGAAGTTGAACTATGGTGAAGGACAGGAGAAAGAGCTTGTCACCAGAAGGTCACTCATATACATCCCTACTTTATACCATCACTTAAACATTATTGTAGGGATAAGTTGATGGGAGAGATGTCGTCACTGAAAGAGAAGATTCGTCAGCTGGAGTCAAAGTAAATATCTCTGTGTGTGAGGGAGAGAAACATGATAATGTCACAGAATCGGAAGGCCAAAAAGTTTGTGCAGCATATCATGTGGGGTTCCTGGCTTGAAAAGCTTCCTTCTGATTATTCATTTATTGCGATGTTATTAGAGCTGTGATGTCATTAGAGTGACATACATACATACATACATACTTAGAAGATGACTATAATGTATCGCTCATGGTCGATCATTGGGGCCCTGCTGTATATGGTCAATCTTTTGAAACTAAAGAAGAGTGATTGAAGTGTGTGTGTGTGTGTGTCGATTGCAGGTTTCCTCAGGTCCAGTTTGAGTACAACGATCCCTCGGCCAACTTTGACAGGAGGAGGGTGAGAGGACCAGTGGTGAGGCTGATGACAGTCAGGGAGAGGGAGGCTGCCACTGCACTGGAGGTCACCGCTGGAGGCAGGGTGAGGAGGGAGGAGGGTGAGGAGGTGTGTGTTTTAAAATCAGAAGGGACTAGTGTTTTGGCAGAGAAATGGCTCTCAAACCTGGTATGGGTCTTGATGGTCTACATATGTTAGTCTTTTCAAGGGTGTCCTTATATAGAGTGATTCAACGGCTTGTGAAGAGTCTGTGTTGCAGCTGTACAACGTGGTGGTGGACACAGAGGAGACGGGCAAGCAGCTGCTCCAGAAGGGAGGACTCAGACGTCGCTACACCATCATCCCTCTCAACAAGATCTCCTCCCACTCCATCCCTGACAACACCACCAGGAAGGCCCAGAGCCTCGTGAGATTATGTGTTTGTACCGTTCTCCCCGGATTTTTACAGTGAAATTCGTGTAAAATTTTATGCATAAATGTGGGCATTGCCTTGAAAATCTTGTAAATTTGTGGAATTTCCCAGAAATTTTGACATACGTACTATTATGCGTAAATGTGGGCGTTGCCTACACCTATGTAATGTGGATGTGGTGCTGGCAATAGCTACTAACACGAAATGAGACAATTGGATAAGTAGTTATATTCTCCTTGTAATTAATCCCAAATTAACGAATTCTGCATCTAGTATTCCACAAAAATGAGGGGGCAGATGTTTCTTTTCTAATGTGCGGTTTAAAAAAAAGGCGATGTGTACACATGCAGGTGGGAGGAGGGGACAAGGTGAGGCCGGCCCTGAGTCTTGTGGGGTACGAGGAGGACCTGAGGCCTGCAATGGCCTTCGTCTTTGGCTCCACCTTCGTCTGCGACACTCTCAAGATTGCCAAACAGGTATTATCGCCTCGCTCTTCCCCCGTTCGCCCCTCTTTTAGCTTGGTATCTACACATGATGTTACATGTACACATTATTGAGACTTTTATTGACGCCCCCGATTTCTTTGTCTTGACAGGTGACCTTTGACAAAGAGGTGATGACCCGCTCAGTGTCCTTGGCGGGAGATGTGTTTGATCCAGCTGGAACACTCACTGGAGGTATAGATACATACATACACACAGGACTTTAAAGACACCTTTATAATAAGGACGCCTTTCCCAAAGTACAGTTTCTTCCGTGCAACTCAGTATTATGGACGCTATTTGGTAGAGTAAGTCCACCGTATAGCTGATCCCCTCTCTCCACTTTCTCCCCTCACTCCCCTTCCTTCCCCATCCCTCCCCCTCCCTCCCCCTGCAGGAGCGCGGGCGTCCTCCTCCTCCATCCTCCTCCACCTGGACCAGCTGTGGAGTCTGGAACAGCAGTTGAGAGAGAAGGAAGCAGAACTCGCCAACGTATCCACCCAACTCGCCTCTCTGGAACAACTGGCTGCAAAGTCAGTTGGAAACGGCTTTTAGCGAGCGAGCGCACACGATCGTAGCTGTTCTCGCCAGGTACCATGAACTGAAAGAGGAGAGAGAGGAGAAGGCCCACGAGGCTGAGGTGGTGAGAGTGAGGCTGGAGCAGAGCAGCCATCACAGACAGATGGAGCACCTCAGACAACTCAAGGAGAACATCAGTGAGCTCTTCTCAACGTATATACATTGCACACAACATTTGTCTTATGAAAGTCTCATGAAAAGTTGTGTCTTCTGTTCCCCTTTATATTATTTCTCTCTCCCTCCCTTTTCCTTCATTGCCTCCCTTGACTCAAAATGCAACAACGCTTTGTCAGAAATTTGAAATACAACTTGCGCTGTTAGCACACTGCAAAACATGACCTTTTAACCTCAAAAAGTGTCTCTTTGATAGCCTCCGCCAGCTATCATCTTCTCTGTTCATTCAGCGCAACTGAAGGAAACAGTGAAGGAGGCCAAAGTTTCTGAGAAGAAGGCACGCAAGAGGTTGGACGATATCCAAAGAAAGATGAAGGTACAGCTACGTATTGAGTTATACTGTTGAGTGTATATACAATATACTACCGGTAGTATAAGAAATATGTACAAATGCTTATGACCACCTTTTCTCAATTTTAACTGTCACATAAGTGATTTGGTAAATGCATTACACGTACTAATCCTCCCTCTGTGTGTGTGTGTGTGTGTGTGTGCAGGAGTTCAGCAGTCACAGAGATGCAGAGCTGAAAGCGGCGGAGGAAGAGATGGCGAGAGTAAGGGAGGAGGCGGTCGGGGTGGTGAGAGAGGCCAAGACCAGGCAGCAGCAGGTCGAGGCTCTGCGTATGGAGTTGGAGGAGCTGGAGAAGAGCCTCCAGAGCCAGAGACTGCTGGTGAGATCATCTCCTCCTCCTCCTCATCCTCCTCCTCCTCCTCCTCCTCATCTTCTTCATCATCATCATCATCATCATCTTCTTCTTCTTCTTCTTCTTCATCTCCATCATCATCTCTATCATCTCCTTCTTCTCCAGATGGAGCAGTGTTCTGAAGGTATATCAAAAAAGATGTCTACAGTGGAAGAGAATCAAACGACTGAATCTGAAACTCAGGTCAGAGTTCCTCTAAAGACAGATTTTACAAACATTAGCTAAGACTCTTACCATTCAAGTAGCCGACTCATTTTTTTCCAAAATTTCCCGTCGCAAATCAACTGTTAACGGTCCTCTCTCTCACTCTCTGAGTGCAGGCATCTCTGCAGGAGGCCCGAGGCAGACTGGAGGACGAGAGAGAAGCCGCGAGAGAGAGGAACAAGGAGCTGCAGAGGTACGACGCAGAGCGACGGGAGAGAGAGAAAGAGAAGGCGGGGCACGTTCTGGCGGCCAAGGAGGTGGAGCACCGAGTGACCAAGTTTCAGAAACACACACGAGAAGCCGCGGCCAAGGTACACACACACACACACACACACACGTACACTGCCATGTGGTGACCCATGAAACCATTATACTTGAATGACTGCACATTATTAGCGAGTGAACACGCGAGTGCGAAATTTCGAACTGGTGTACGCTTATTTAGAATTCATATATATAACCAACGGTAAAGTTGCACCACAGTATGTACTATCGACATGTTTTATAGGTGGAGTCTCTTTTGACTCATTATGAGTGGATAGCAACCGACAGGCAGTACTTTGGACAACCCAACACGGCGTATGACTTCCAGGCCAACGATCCAAAGGAGGCCAGTCGCAGAATGGAGAAACTGAAGGAACAGAAGGTGAGATGAATCTCCGGTCTTTCGAAAGAGAGAAGAGGGGAAGTGAGATGAGGGGAGAGAGAAGGGGGGAGAGAGAAAGAAAGGAGGAGTATTTGACAAGAAAGAGGTGTGTGTTATTCTGCAGGAGAAGTTGAGCAAGACGGTCAACATGAGAGCCATGAACATGTTGGGAAAGGCAGAGGAGAGGGTGAGAGAGTGGGGGGAGGGAAAACTGAGCCATTACTGCGTGTGTCTGTCCGTGGTAGTACAACGACCTGCTGAAGAAGAAGGAGATAGTAGCCAACGACAAGACAAAGATTGTGAAACTCATCGAGGAGCTGGACCAGAAGAAGAACACCACTCTAAAAGAAGCCCACCACAGGGTCAACAGGGTACGGCACTCTTCTTGTCATTACATAGTCTACGGTAACTGGCAATTGACCAATCAGATTGCGAGTAACTTAGTTTTCAAAAATGTGTATAGCAACAACCCATTGGGTTTACTGCCTCTCGTAATAGCACTGACCATTTACAATAACAAGCAACGTTCTGTTAGTGAGCTAACTAGCATAATGTGTACAGTGTTTTGCTACATTCATTTTGCATACAGATGTAGATTCTTACATTGAATGGTACTTGTGATCTCTCCACCCTTCGCTCCGCACACTGTCCCATGTATACGTGTACTATTCTCGTATTAAAGAGTCCTCGTGTGAGATCTCTGTCCTGTCTCTGTGTGAGATCTCTGTCCCGTGTCTCCAGGACTTTGGCTCCATATTCTCGACCCTGCTGCCAGGGACGGAGGCGTGTCTCTCTCCGCCAGAGGGACAGACCGTTCTCGATGGTCTGGAGGTCAGAGTCGCCTTTGGCGGAGTCTGGAAAGACAGTCTCCAGGAACTCTCCGGGGGTCAAAGGTCACCTCTTAGTCTTTAAAGTATTACGGAATGGAAATTTTCGAGCGAGAAAAGCAGAGATTTGCTGTTGTGGGCAACACTTCCTGAGGCTCTGTATGTAGAAAACAGTCTCGTCTGAATGTTTGTGGGGAAATGTGGTGCCCTTTGAAAACATTGGGTCATGGGAAACTGTGCGAAAATTTCCCACAGAGGATTGAGGTGTTATTGTGTGTACAGGTCTCTGGTGGCGTTGTCTCTCATTCTCTCCCTCCTTCTCTTCAAACCTGCTCCAGTCTACATTCTGGACGAGGTCGACGCTGCTCTTGACCTCTCTCACACACAGGTACACGTACATACATACCTCCTTTGCCCGGGGTGTGGACACACCACACACACACACACACACGCACACACAGGTCTTCTTCACCTAACCCACTCACCCGTTTTTCATGGGGTGGGCATTAAATCAAATCTGTGTTCTCCCATCCCTTTTTTCTTTTCCACATTTTCATGGGGTGGGCATTAAATAAAAAACTGTGTTCTCCCTTTCCTTTTCTCTCTCAAATCTTTCCACTTTTTCCTTTCTACCAATCCATACCCTCCTCTCTCTATCTCTCCCTCTCCAGAACATAGGGCAGATGTTGAGAAGTCATTTTCCGCAGTTCCCAGTTCATCGTGGTGTCCCTCAAAGACGGAATGTTCAACAATGCCAACGTTCTCTTCAAGACAAAGTTTGTCGACGGAGTATCAACTGTAACAAGGTTAAGAGCAAGCTAGACTGTCCGTAACTTCTAGGTTTCTGAGCCTATATCACAGTCCCCCGTCTCATTTGCAGATGGGGTGTGCTTACGTAACTAACCCTCCCTCCTCCCTCTCTTTCGTTCTTGTCTCTCTTAGGTACGTGAACCCTCAGGCCACCAGGAGAAACCCTCCCCCAGCTGCCACTACTCGTGAGAGAGACACTGAGAAAAGTTAGAACATGTGAAGAGTATTCACAGGTGTTTCACCCCCTCCCTCCCTCCCTCCCCCCTTCCCTCTCCCTCCTCTCTCTCCAGAGTCAAGTAGGAAACAGAAGAGGGTCAGACTGGGTCCAGTGGCCACACCCACCAAATGAACTTTGACAAACTTTTCATCTTCAAACAAGCTTTTCTTACTAACCATCACTAGATTGAACATTCCATTGCCTCCACTCTTATAATCTGTGCTGGAAAGTTTTCTTACATGGATGACAATAAAATGTACTTTCCCACTCGACTTCTTGCTATGAGGTGGTTTCTGGGAAACTGAGAATATCCACGTGCTTTGTTTGCTTAGTGTGCAACACATTAACACTTCTTGTCAAAAGGTTTGCATTTGTTTTCCCATCATCCTGGGTTTTTCATGCTGATCTGAACATGCATGCACCACGGATCAGTTGGTCCTGCTGCATTCTCGTCGCAACCTTCAAAACACCAACGTTGCGCGCACACACAAACGTACACACTGAACGACATCAATTGTTTCTATTGTGACACGACACGACACACACAAAAACACAAGCATCTCTACCAATTTTTGCCCACAACTATACCCCAATGTTGCATAGTATGGGCCCGCACAGTACAGTGGTAGCAGCTGCTCATTATACATACAACAGTGTAAAGATGCCAAAAGCACAGTGTGGATCTCTGACTATACGTAAAATGATAGTATGGTACGTTACAGTATTCAGTCATTGGGTGACTCTAATTATAGCACACCCACACCCTCTTCTCTCTTCTGAGAGGGTGGCTACTGCTCAACTGCAGTAATTGGAGGGGCTCCAGGGAGATTAGGAAAGTCATGGGTGTCTTCCACGTTGGGGGCTCTCCCATAGTCACCACGGCGACCACCGCCCCTGAATCTCCGCCCACCTTCTTCTCGGCCGCGTCCACCTTCGTCTCGGCTGCGCCCACCTTCATCTCGCCCACGTCCACTTTCCCCTGCTCCACGACCACGCCCCCTTCCTCCGCCCCTCTCTCGGCCACGCCCTCCTCGTCGGGCCGGGTCCTTGAAGAAGAAATTGGCGTCGAGTGTTGTCTTTGTCCTGCCAGACGTCTTGGGCTTCTCAATCACCTCCTGCGGAATGGGGGGGGAGGGAAGAGAAGGGTGAGGGTAAGGATATATAGCACAACCAGAGGAACAGCACACATGAACTCTGCACCACGTCACTTGTGTACACGCACACACTATGGACAAACAAGTATACTGACAGAGGTTCCACTGTAACTAATGTATGTATGGACCTATGTATGGGGAGGTATGATGTATTGCGGAACTGAACTGCATGCCAACTGTGAGCTAATCTTTGCTTACACAAAAGAGTTTTCACTCTCCCCCAAAAACTACGTCGTTGACTACTACCGCCTAAGGAAATCGGTGAAAAACCTGAACAAGAGAAGGTGGGGGCGACTGACCCTGGTTCCGGGGAAGTATTCTCCCTCACTTCTTTCGTACATGATGGTGTCCTTCCATTGGCTGGTGTCGACGTTCTCTCCCGGTTTCCTCTCGTCCATGTTCTGTCTGATTACCTCCTGACAGACACACACACACAGGGATAAACAGTTACGTACGTAACAGAGTATCCTAGAAGATTACTAAAGATTACGAGAGTATCCTGATAGATTACTGGTATGTTCTGTCTGATTACCTCCTGACAGACACACACAAAGACACACACAGGATAAACAGGAACGTACGTAAGAGGACCATTTTACAGATTGTTTAAGGCACTTGGTTCCTGTTGACAAAGATGTCTGCAACACACAATTGAATGCCTGGTGCGAGATGAGGGGGAAGACAAAAGATGATGAAAGCTTAGGGAGAGATTAGTCAAAGAGACGAAAGACTATTGGGAGATAGGGGGAAAGATGAACGGAAAAGAAAGCTTAGGGGCGAGATAGAGAGGACAAAAGTTTGGACTAAGGTAGGAAAAGACGAAAGTCTGGGGTGAGATTGGGGCTCCACACCATGAAACTGCTCTCTGACCACACCCCCAACTGACCTTGGAAGATTTCGACATGAGAGCCTTGTACTCGTCCAGGGTCATCTCTCTGGCTTGGTTCTCTTCCTCAGTCGTTGTCTCCTTGGTGGGACTCTCCGATTCAGTCTGATCCCCACCCCTGCAGGGTCACATGACAGTCACACGACAGGAGACACAAGTCACATGACAGGTGGCAAACAGGTAGTGTTTATTTGCCAAAGCATACATGCCAGAGTTAAGGGCACTATTTGCACTATTTCCACACAATACACATACATCAATACCTATAGTGGGTGAGGTTTGCCAAAATGATACGGAGTTTTTCACACAGAAAATTTGGAAGACTTTCAAACCACAATATTGCAATTGCTTTCCCCCACACAGGAACATATAATTATGCCCGCTATAAAGTCAGGGAGTACAAATAAAACCACGGAAGCTAGTTGAACGATGATTATGCATGGTTGTTGAGGCTGACTCACGTCGTCGTATCCTCAGTCTTGTCGGTGGAGGGTTCGTCTCCGTTCTGTTCCGGCTCGGTCTGGTCTGTGGACTGAGGCTGGGGAGGGGGCGGGGCATCCTCTCCATCCTCGGGCCAGTCGTCACTGAACACACACACCATTGAAAGAAGACAGTTTCATCAAACCACTGAGAGAAGATAGACGGTTGCTTCTCTATAGCTAAAACCTAGATTATACGAAATTCACTTCCGTCTCCAGTTCGCCACTCAATCTAACAATTCTGAATGCACACATGCGTGCACTGAGGAACACACACATTCAAGGAATCTGTGATTCAGTACAATTTGACCGAGAAACCGATGGCTTGTCGTGCTGTATATAGTACCCACAAAATCGCGTCAAAACGCCAAGTGTTTTCCCTCGCCAACGGTACAGTACAGTATCTCACACGTCTTCCCTCTTGCCCCAGTTGTGGGCTCCACCTCCGTCTCTCTTCTCCACCGCCTTCACCGAACTGCTTGAGGTAGGACGGACGAGCGAGGGGAGGAGAAATTGGAAGTCAAGGTAAAAAGAAAATGTCGAAAGACCCCGGGTAGGCATTAAATGGAGCAATTCATTGATTATGTCATGTTACCTCTTGTCGCTGCCACTTCTCCGTTCGAACTCCCTCTTGCCACGGAACACTCCTCTCCCTCTTCCCCTGAACCGCCCCATTCCACGGCCCCGCCCCCCTTCACCTCGGTCCTCTCGGTCCCCTCCCCCACCTCCAGAGAATCCCCTCTCCCCACCCCCACTGCGATCACCAAATCCACTCCGATCACTGAATCCACTCCGATCACCAAATCCACTCCGATCACCAAATCCACCCCGATCACCAAATCCACTCCGATCACCGAATCCACTACGATCACCACCAGAGTCATTTTCCTGAAACCAAAGAGATTGACAAAATCGTACACTGCAACAACAACTGCTCTTCCTCTCTTTCTCTCCCATACTCCCTCCCTCCCTTCCTCTCCCCCTCCCTTTCCTCCCTTCAAGTTGTGAACGTGTATACCAATAACATAAGGCTATGTGTAATGCACCCAGCTACTATATACTGCTATCTCTTCGACAGCTATATACAAGGACACAGAACGGATACCTACCATAGCTCACACAGTGTGCCAACGAGCAACCACTTTGGCTGCATAGCTTCAACCCCACAATAATTATATACCTACAGAAGCTCAATTAGAAACTCTATAGGGCTTCATATTTGCTTCATATAGTTTCGTCATACTTAAGATCGCAATGGATAATCAACTAATCAGCGGTAACAAAGAACAAGGAAAGCTAAGACACTCAAATTTACACCATCTATAGTCCCCCCCCCACAGAGTAATTTACCACACCTGCACTCACAAACAACACAAAAACTCTCCAAACGAACTCTGTTTTCGGTTTTCAGTTACCTTATCCCGAGATGAGAGGCGTGGTCTCCCTCCTCGTCCCCCTCTCCCCCTCCCCTCCCCTCGCGGGAAAAACTCCTTCTCCTCTCCCTGCTGGTTCCTCCGGTTGTCCTGACGGCCACCTCGGCCACGCCCAGCCGACTGCGGTTTGTCAGACTCTGCAGAGACACAGGCAGAGAGAGAGAAAGAGTGGGGAAGGATTAGGGGGGCCATGAATATCTAGTTTTGGCCTGCATGCACCTCTTGACGAAGGGACCACTTTTACCACAGTCCTACGCCAACGCTGCAGCGGACATATTATAGCCAACTAGCTATAGTCGAATCAAACGCTCATAAAGGTTCCTGCCGATATCCACGAGCTCCATAAAACGCGGAGCGGGACACGATCTTACGTTTCCCCGAATCCTGTGCAGGTTTGCGCTGCGGCTGCTGCTGCCCGGTCTTCTCTCGGTTGTTGTCCTTCTGCTGCTTCCCGACTCCACTGCCGCTCTTGGCGTCCTTTCTCTTGTTGGCCGCCGTCTTGTTGTCTATCTTCTCCGAGACGTTGATGACCTGGTCCCCCGGATCGTCTTCTTCGGCCATGAGAGAAGCGAACCTGTTGCTAACCCCCACCGTGTACGCCGACTCCATTCCACCTCCTCGCTCGCCGATCGAAGCAGATTGACTGAAAGCTAAACGTGGGCTATCTCCCCGCTGCCATTTGCACACAGCTACACAACCGCACTCCACATGACGCGCGTGCGCATAACGTGCGCGTGCGCTAAAATCATGCGCGCGTTTAAGAAATTTAACGTATAATTATTTATACAGCAAATTTTCTATTTATGCGACGGCTCAATAATCCGGGTCACAAATTTGCTCATGAATCAAAACTTTATCTTGGCATAATAGACGTGAAATTTGGTGATGATGAGATATAAAAAAATTTGCAAACGATACAGAAATTGAGAAAATAAGTGAAATTTGGGTAGGAATGATCAGATTAAAAACTCTCAGTCGGAAACATGATTATTATGCAAATATCTATCTCTCTCGTATTATATATGACTATATAATTATGCTGAGTTCCACACCAGTGACATGACAAGTTTAACTCTCTCTTCTCTTGAACAAGTTCTCTTGCAACCGTTTGCCAACATTATTCTGACGACGGAGAGGGAGGGAGGGGAGGGAGGGAGGGACGGCGTGAAAGAGCACACCACTCTGCCAGAAGAAGGTGAAGATGGTTGCCTAGTGAAGTCCTGTGCTAGCCAGGCGGCCAGGGTCTGAGAAACTGAAGTATGCGTTGAGACCACACGCCCGGGGTGACATCTGTGATCAGAGAGAATAAACGGTGAGTTTCAAGTTTACAACAACTGAGTTTAAAACAACACGACGGGGTCTGTTTTGTCTAGTGGATTACCTTGTTAAGGAATAGGGAAAGGAGAGAGAGGAAAAGAGTCCAGTTACAAGAACTGGCCTCAACTTACATGATTCCCTTAGAGGGTTGAATAAACTTTCACTGCTTTGCTAAACACTGCTGACAGACCTCTATGTAAATAGGTGTAGTCCTAAAAAGCATGCACTGCTACAAGTAAAAGATTGACTGCAGACTGTCTGAAGATAGTCCAGAAATAGTGTGACAAAATAATACTCACGTTGTGTTCTAGAGTTGACAGTAGCTCCTTGAAAGTAGGTCTGTACTCTGGCCCAGAGGCCCAGCAGTGCTTGATGATGTCCCTCAGTTTCCCGGCGTTCATGTGGTGAAGACTCTGACACCGACCGTTACCCACCTCCCACACAATGAGCTCGCCGGGCGTGGCTCGAAACGGGCGTGACACGGTCACCATCTCGTAGACGATGGTTCTGAGGGAGAAGGGGGGGAGAGGAAGGAAGGAGAGTGAGTAGGGATTTCCAAGTGGGGCCAGATGGTTGGTTCACATGCAAACTGAAACCTACACACTGTATTGGCATACACACACCTCACACCACAATAGATGGAGGCACAGAAACTAAAATATTGCTAGAGATCCTCAAAGGGAGTTGTGTACACACAGGCCAAAACCAAGCAGTTTCCTGTCAGAAACTTTCATAACCACATGTGTCGTTTCTTTTTCTTACCCAAATGAGAATATGTTGGCTTCACGGCTGTCCAAGTGTGCTGGGTAAGTTGTTAGGGATAGTGTGCGATGATTTGAGGAGGAGGAGGAGGAGGAGGGGGAGGGAGAGGAGGTAGGTTGGAGAGTTCGGATAACTTCTGGCGATAGATACACCAACTGGCTTGGCTCAAGAGTGCTGCAAGAGAAAAGAGGAGAAAAGAGAGAAAGAGAAGAGAGAGAATGATAAAGTTGTTTGTGTCATATGGTATTCGCACAAGTATTTGCGTTTGTTACACAAATCTAATTGACTGCATACTAGCGCTCTATGGTGGGTAACCCAGCAAGAGGAAACTGGCACCCCCTTCTTTCTCCAGCAAGGAGCTCGCGTATCTAAAGAGTATCATAATAATGGAACCAATCACCCATGCATAATCCTTGTTCGCTGGTCCAAGGCAACCTTGTACACGGGACCACCCAACACTACCAGCTATATAGACACCAGTTCTATATTTACCTTGGTGTGTATACAATTGCACGCCTACAGATCTAAACCAAAGTCTACATTTATCCCAGCGTGTATATCATGCGACAGTCACACAGTTTCTATATTTAACCAGGTGCATACTACATAAGAAGCACGCCCACTGAATTGCTACCAGGCCACCCACCATTCACCAGGCATAGGGTTACCCCAACTGATACAGTATTAGGAAACTAAACCAAGTGGAACGGCCACCCCTCCTCGGAGCCACTCTCTCCCCCCTCTCCCTCCCTTCTGTCTGTCTACACTCTATGATATGGTCACGAAGCCGACTAGTCTACAACTTGTGTGCGACCTTTCACGACTCAACCTGTCTCGCTGGAGCAAGGTGATCGGATTGCTAATTCGTGTTTAGCCTCCACTCCTACCCATTTCACCGTGACACTTTGAGCCCTCTCAATAACAGTACAAATACTCCTACCAGTTTCCAGACTGCTGCGTGACATGCGTGTGTGTGTGTGTGGCCTGCGGAGTTCCGTGGGCGGGCAGACTGGGATTGTATTTCAGCACTAAAACGTCTGTGCGTTGGTAGGTTGAAGGGCATACCAAAGAGAGGGAGAGAGAATGCGTCTAAAAAGCACGCCGCAAAGGGAATTCATGACGTTTGAGACTGGCGGCTGTGAGGTTGGCATTGTCTTGCAGGATTAGCTGGCAGGTACATGGGTGTCCCCTCCCTCAACATACGCTCAGTGCAACAGGGCAGGTAAAGGGCCAGTGTAGCCAGAAGTAAAGATATGAAGTGTAAGCTAAAGGTGGGTGCAAGCCAAAGGGTAGAAAACTTATTTGCTAAAATGATGGTAGAACAGCAAAAGTAGACTATAAGTTGTGTTTGTAGCACCTTCTTGGTAATTGTTCAGAATTCCCAGCTAAGGTTTTTTTACAACGCTGCCCCCATTAATACTGGTGTCTTTACGAGAAGCAGTGGTGGAGTGTTAGCTTACTTGGAGCAGGCGGCAGGTGAGAGCATCGATATGCAGGCTCTGTAGTGGATGTGGATAGATTTGGAGGTGAGGAGTGGATGATTGATTCCTCTGTCGTGGAGATAGGCCATCCCCTGTACACAGAGAAAGAGGGACGCGGGGATGAACTGTAATTCATTTCAGTTCCAGTATGTGGGAAGGTTTACATGGTTTGCCTATGTTTGGTTATACTGCACAAACGCTGACACACTGTATTGACACACTGTATGCACATGATGTAAATCGCTGCATACTTAGAGACTTCCCTGAATGGAGGAAGTAACAAACTGTTTCCTCGGACCATGCAAACTTTTCCAAGAGTATGTGTCCACATGCAAGACCGCTGCTTTGGCAACTTTGACGCATTCCATTACCCACGAGAAAGGGGGAGTGAACAGAAGCATATGCAGGCAGAGAACAGGCCCCTCTATGGGCATGCAACACCAATAGGCTCAATAGCTAACTCACTGTGTGCTAACTGCATCACAGTAAATGTGGGATGTTCAAGGGCTGTTGCAAAGTAGCATGAAATGTAGAGTTTCAGTGACTAAGCTCACATTATCACATGGTGCACATGTACTTAGGGCTATCTTTGGAGACATATTATGTATGTGTTCAAAGGGTCTACATAAGCAGGAAATGAAGCAAGTTGTTTCACTGCATTTACCTGAGCAATCTGGTTGAGGTATTTGGACATGGCTGAAAACTGGAGCTCCTGGCCTGTCCTGTGCAGCAAGGAGTCCAGGGACTCACCCTTTATGTTGCTGTATAGGAAGAGAGAGAGAGAGTGCATCTGTGACACGGTGGAAGTAAAGTGTTGCTACCTGACATAGTTTCACTGTAACTTCCTGTAACTTCCTGATTTAATCAGATTAGGGTGGAAACCACTGGCATTACATGTCAGTTCCAAGTACCCTTGGCAACCTGCCAGTTCAAGTACCTTGGCAACCTGTCACTGGGAGCCAACAAACACTGACTGATCCAGGCTTTCTGAGCTACAGATGTTAGACAGCTGGTGCGCCTGTGGCCCATGACTTATGTGTATTATAATCTTTCACATAACAGTAAAGCAAGTAACTGTATGTAGGCATGTATAGGTCATAACAGGTAACATGTCAAAGGCTGAGCGCTAGTCCTAGCCACAGACTGCAGTCTGACATCACACTAAGCTTGCACACACACAAGGTGATCGGTCTTTGCAAGGTAGGAGCACTAGTGCATGCAAACCTTTGTGTTAGCACAGCAGTTAAATTTGCTTCGTGTTGTATGCATCAAAGAGCTTGTATCTTTGATGCTCACGGAACGCCTAATGCACTACCACTGGCCTTTTGCAATTTCTAGAGCACATAATTATATAGGTGCACAGTGCAAAAGACTTCCAGTAAAACATGTGAACTGTCTATAGCAATTAGAGGCAATGGACACCAGAACAGATCAAAAAGGTCCCTATGTATGTAGCTAGTGAGTAATTATCATGGAATCCACTCTATAACGATGTTGATGTTATGTTGCTAAATTGGATGCCACACAAATCTGGCTATAGTGGAACATTCTCTCCTACACAAATCCCAATACCAGATGTTCCCGGTAAGTCTGGCAAAGAGCCTGGCACTTTAGAATTACTTTCGGATAATTGAGCATCCCAAAACACCACAGACTACCGCATTTCACAGAACCGAATAAACAACAAGAAGCCTTCCCTCTCTCTCTCTCCTCCTTCTCTCTTTCTCTGTCTCTCTCTCACCTCATAACAAGAGCAACGGAGACAGGATTCAGATCCAGACACACTCCAAGGAACAGCTGAACGTTCTCGTGTCGTATCTTGCTCAGAGTGGTTGCCTCCTGTATGTAGACGTTTAGTTCCGTGAGAAGGGGACTCTGCCTCTGGTGAACTGTAACACTCCCGTGCCAGTAGCCACTGTGGGAGATAAGGAAAGGTTGTATTATGCAGGGGAAGAGAGAGGGGAATGTTTTGCATGCATACCGCAAGTAAATGTAGCGGTGCTAGGTGCACTTTCAGCTAGCTAGCTGGACGCGGAGCCCCTGAGCCGCTAATGATATTCATGCTTGACCTGCAACTTCGCCCTCACCTGTACACCCGTTCTTCCTGCCGTCTGGAGAGGACCTTGTCCAGCGTCAGGTCCTTGGCCGAGATGTGCCAGTCCTCCAGAATGGTCTCGCACCTGGCGAACGAGCACTCGTCACACTCGCACTCGAAATCTTCCTCCCCCTCATCTTCCTCACTCCACACCGAGCAGGCGTCATCCTCCTGCGGCCCCACCCCGAACTCTTCTCCGAGGCACACGCCAGAGTCTGACTCGGAAGAGACGTTCCACGCCGATTCCCTGGTGGTCGCTGTCAGCATCGTCTGCTTCACATCACCGCCACGCGGGTTGAATTGGTCGTCGGCGGCCGTAACGTTGACTACAGCTGGAGGGAACGGACGGCAGCACGCAGCAGACGTCTCGTGCGAGAACGACGCAGCCTCCAGAGGCTCCTGTGATCTCAGACCGGGCAGGGCGGAGGCTGAGGTTGCAGACACTGCGAGATCCACTGCTCCTAGCTCCCCCTCCGAACTGCAGCACCTCGCTGGCTTGCACGCACGCTTCCCCGAGCTCAATCGATTCCACACACGCCTGCAGGCTTTCTTCAGTAGACCCATTTTTCTCTTTTTGTCGAATATCTGAGGACGCTTTCTCAAAAGCTTGTCTGGGCTCTTTTGATCGCTGATGAGCCTTTTATACGAAACTGCGCGCGGAACCCGGAAACGTAAGATAGGAAGTGAGAACACCTGTTACACGCAAGCATGATAGGAATGTGAATAATAATAATACCCGGTGCTACATACATGTATAAATACACATTATGGGGTAAAAAACTGTTTGGTATACATACTAGAAAAGTGAGCGGTATATTATAGAAGGGTCATGGAGAGATCTCTATGGAGTGTTAGAGTTATCTTTTGGCTTGGGTCTACCTCCAAGAGACACAGAATGTCAGGAAGATCGAGAGACGACACTTCGACACCATTGATCTGTGCATTCGAGAAAGAGTGAGAGGGAGAGAGGGAGGGAGTGAGAGAGAGAGAGAGAGATGAATGTCAAAAACTGTGCATACAGAGACAGGGCCAAATTTAAAAATTTCGCAGCAGAAAAATGTATAATGATTCCTTTCTTTTATGACTGTTATGCTCAATTTTTGGATAGAACAGCTTGCCAGATAACTCTCAAAAACGCTGCGAAAAACTCAGCACCAATTTTTTTCCCCCACTACATGGTATGCACACCGGAGACACATCTCTTTTGTCCCCAGATGTACTGTTTCAGAGCTACATGGCCAAACAGTTTTGAGCCCTGGTCTAAAACAATGAGCAGTTGACCCAAAACAGGGCACCCCTCGGCTGCCCCGACAGACACAAACACAAACACTCTCATACACACACACACACACAGACTCCGTCACAAGGCTATGATCACAACACACAGACAGAGGTAGGCCCAGCCACCTTTTCATTTCAGCCCTTAAAAATTCCACAATGACACACACAGACAGAGACACACTTCCAGAAGGCCTTGTGAAATAGACTCTAGGGCTGTCACTCTATGTAAATATTAAGGGCTGTTGAGTCCAAAACTGGACAAGATGGACTAAGCAAATGATAAAGAGAGAAAGAGAAAAAAATTAGAGAGTGTTACCTCCATTATCCGGTCTCCGAGTTTGATCATGCCACACTGAGCTGCTGGGGAACCGTCCACTATCTTGTAGACATGATATCCCTGTGGAAGAATGTACATACTGCTTACTTACACACACAGACATAGAGAGAGAGAGAGTGGAAGGGGGAACGTTTGGATCTGACCTACCACAGTGCAGAGTGGGACAAAGTGAGACATGTCTAGCCTTGGGAATGCAACAAATGGCAATTGCCTACCTAGTCAACTATACTTTCAGACCCCAAGCAGCTACAATGGGAGTCAGATTATGCAATACCTTATAAGCAGACAAAGAGCCTTATACATACTTATACTGACTAAAGCAACCAGTTAAGTTTGCCTAGAGGTAAACACTGCCTCACTGGAGGTCAGCAATAACCAAAGCAACTACCATCAACCATGGTTCCAGCTCCATCCAATGCTCCTTAGTGTTATATCATCACACACATGCATGTACGTATATACCCTGCATAAGGAATTCCTCAATTACCACTGGACTGCCCTGACAGACATTCCTGTCTATATTTGGCAGTTTGGCCTGGGATAGCTAGCCAATCGCCCCGAAGACCCGTGTGCACAGAGAGCGCCTCAAAGACAGTCCAACCCTCTATACTGGTCAACTGAGACATTCTGAACTAATTGCCAGCCCAGTCAACAAACACCCAATGACTGGCACAGTTTTAGCGCGCACGGGTCTCCGGCTATTTTTAGTGACGTTGCAAGTGTGTGTACGTCTGAGTATGGAGATCATGTTACGCTGGTCTCTGACTCTCTGGACGCCGCGCAGGGAAAGAAACCATGGACACAAAACACTTCCCACAGTAACAATGACCGGTTGCTAATGGTCAATTCGGTCGGCATTTAGCCAGTTGGTACCCAAGGCAAAACAGTGTGGTTACGTCGATAAACAAACTAGCGGTTGTGAGAATTTCGCATCAGGGCCTCACACTGGAGACAAAGAGTCAAGACATAATACATTCTGCAGTGTACACTGTGTGTGTGTGTGTATGTGTATATAGCCAGAATGCGGAAGTTAATTTCTCGCTAGTATTGGGAGCAACCCTTTCTAAAAACGAAAGACGGTCTTGATTGGCTTGTGTACAGTAGAGTTTTAACCGTGCTAATCTGGCCAATAAAAATGTTGAACGACATAATGTTTTTGTGACAGCCTATAATGACTTTCATATGCATGCACAGCTTTCGGGGGGAAACTGGCTATACGGCTTTGCAAATGACAACAAATTCACCACAAACTGGGTTTCTCTGTCAGAACTCAATGCACACTGGCCGACCAGATGCTCTCTCATTAAAATGTATCTTTGAGGGGAATGGCACGTAAGACAGTAGTACTCTCACATCATTTTCACAAAGTTTGTGTCGATTCTCAGTATATATAGGAAGCTTAGCATGCAGAGGCAGTGTGTGGCTCTGGGAGCAAGACAAGAGCTTTGAGATTGCGTGTACGAAGAAGAGGATAGGAGAGTCAAACATGATGCAACATGGTGGGCATGCATGCATTCCAGGTATAGCTGGAGGAGGATGGGAAGGAGGGGAGAGGGAGGGGGACGTGTTAAATTCCTGTATATCTACAAGAGAGTAGTTTATACTGAAACAGCTACATCAACATGCTTACTACACTCCATGGTGAAAATGGAGACTAAAGGACTAGTGGGGAGAGGTGAGGAAGGAGGCAGGAGTCAGGAGAAAGGGGGAGAGAGAGATAGGAGAGCGGAGGGTGAGAGGAGGAAGAGATGGAAGAGATATGGTAGAGGGAGAGGGAAATAAATAATGGCAAAGGAGTGGGGGCACAATGTATGGTTGAACTCTAGCACTACTCAACACAGTACTGCCCACATACACATTGCCTCCTACACAAACACACACACTCTCTGCATACACCTCCAAATGAGTCCCTCAATGCAGCACTCTTCATCGCCATGGACAACACACACACACACACACACACACAGAGCCAAGCACCCAAAGCAATCCAAGAGAGAGGGAGAGAGAAATAAAGAGTAAGAACAAAGGTGATTCCAGTCAGGTTTGACTGGAGGGTTGGGAAGTGACGTGACGCAACGGGCTCTCCAGATAACAGAGGAGCGTACTTTTGTGGAGATGAAGGTCACGATTGCTGGCCAAGTCACACAGAGTGCGGCAGACTGCGTCACAAAGAGTGACAGCTGTGGAGCAACCACACACGTTATTACCCCGCGTGCAAGGTAGGGGGGGTGCAGCTAAAATGGCAAACAGCACGTAATCCTGAATGCTGCGCTGTGTGTGCAAACCTGAATGCTGCTCTCTGTGTGTGCGTGCATTTGTGTGAGTCTGAGTTCCAGGAACACCACTCCAGCCCGTGAATAACAGGTCGAAAGTTTTCACAAATCCTCCGATGAGTGAGACTTTCAGTTTAGAGCAAGCCGGGCACGGCATGTGTTGCACCCAACAACAGCCAGCGAAAGTGTTGACGGCAAACGACAACACGTGAGTGAGACGAGCATTTGAAACCAAAACGTACAAAGAGCTGTTGCATACGCCATCTTACTTCCAGCGTATGGTAAAATAATATTAGTTCCGAATGTGGGAATCAACAATACTGTGTACAATACATGCATACAAGACCCCTTGGAAGCTGGGCACAGGTTACCAAATAGAATTAAGCTCTTGCATAACATTGCATAACCAGGGGTTGCATGGTATACAGTTACAAGTTCTCTGTCATTGTCAAACCTATTATACCTCCATAAGCACACCTTTTGTGAGGAGAAATGAATGGTCAAAGTGGTGCTAATTGACACACCAAAAGTGGTTGTAAGGCTAGAGAGAAGTCTGAGAGTAGCGAAGATGGGATGGGATCGGAAGGAAAGAAAGAGAGAGAGAGGAGGGAGGCAGGAAGTAAGGGAGGGGAGTAGAAGATAAAACCAGTTGTGAACAAAGGACCAGTGAAGGCTGCAACCATTGAAGCAAGATGCAAAAGAGAGCATTTAGATCAAAGTCTTGGTGGGTATCCAGTGGGTGTTAGCTGAAGTGACCCAGTGAATAGCCCTGTGGCTCTGACAGGGCCTACATACATACCACGTAGTCATGGTCACCAGACAACACCACACTGTGGATAAGCACCACACACTCGGCAAAAGAGGCACAAAAAGTTGGTGGGTATTTCAATTTAATGCCCATTTGGAGCCAGATAACTAAGGCAACAGGCATGACAATCATGTGATGCCTCGAGATCAGATCAATTCAGTGCCTATTGGAGCCAGATAACTAAGGCAACAGGCATGACAATCATGTGATGCCTCGAGATCAGATCATTTGCAAAGACATTAAAGTGTGAGGCTCGACTGTAACTCGACATTACAAAATCCCGCAATCCGATTGGCTAAGGCCAACAATGAAAATTGCATAACGATAGATACCAGACCCTTTTCTTGCACTGCTAAGGGTACGAGACTAGACTATCAGGTGCCCCACTGACCTCCACCCACTCTCTGGTTCCCTGGGATACTCTCAGACTGTGTCAAAGACACACTAGGATCTACCCACCAAACACCCTGGGACCAACTCACAGGCTCTAATGGCCTTGAATGTCAGCCGGTGAATAGACTAATACGGTCACTTTTGGACTCGGTGAGAGTATGGAGATAGAGCCCGGTGCAAAATATAGGCTGATGTGTGGATGCAGTGGGAGGAATGGAGAGGGGGGGAGACAATATTATGGGGAAAGAGAGAAAGAAAGGGAAAGACAATGATAGGTAGACTGGGTGTGTGTGTGTGTGTGTGAGAGGCAGAAAGGAGAGAAAATAGGGGAGGCAGAGGGGGAGAAGGGGGTGATTATCAATCACAAGCAGATGACATCAGTGGGCAAAACACTAGTGCTCAGTTAGCCGGCCAGACTGACAGACACACAGGCTGCAGACACAAAGGCTGCCGGGCTGTGGTCACTGAGGCATGTGGCTCGCTCATCCACGGCACATGCACATCCCCACCCCCAAAAAACCTCCAAGTTTTCTCAATTAGGGCTCCCACCGGCCATAAATATCGTTACAAGACCCCAGAGACAACTTCTGGGAAGCATTATCATTTAAAGGCCACTTGGGTTCTGCACAGAAGACACTAGTCACTAATAACACATGCAGACAGACACGTAGACTACTGGACATGTATTTCGCTACATGTAAACGTGTTGTATTGTGTATGGTGTAGATCAACACTGATAACAGCTGAGCCTTTTGGCGGTTTTTTGAGCAATAATCTAAACAATGTTTTTCGTACTGCTGCACAGTTACATGTACGTTCTCGTTATAAGTACTGTTTCGGTACCGTTCTAGTACTGTAAGGTAAGGTACGGTACTGTACTGTAATGACCGGTACTGTACATAGACACCTTGTTAAGGAACTTGTTCACATGATTGTGTGACAATTGGAACGTACAGCTCTACAGAAATACGCGGTATACAGAGGAACCTTGCAAATGTCTTACAACGCTACGACATGATTAAACGGAATTAAACAGAGGAACGTGGGATCAGCATTGCAAAAGAAGACCTTTCACGGCTGACCAAGCACTGCACTTTTACGAAACCAGAAAAAGGCTCTGGTGATGGAACAAACATCTTAATTCTCACACCAAGAAGCCGAGAGAGAAGAAAAGAGAGGGAGGTGAACTAACTGGTTTGATGTTGCTGTCTTGCTCCGTGCCTCCCTCCCTGATGCCCAGTCCTAGAGACGGGTTCTTCTCCAACTCCACTTTGATCTATACATACATACACACAGTACACCACAGAACCAGTAAAATATCAGAATACTAGCCGACTGTATTATAGAACCATTTGAACTGCGGACATTCATAAATTATGAAGTTTGTGAGAGTAATTGTGTATGTGAGAGGTGGGGAATAAAGGCAGTTGTGGTATTAACGGTCCCTCTGTTGCCTGCCCCTGTCATAATCAGCAACAGCAAACTTTCTTTAGTTGTAACAACTCTGCCGTGCATGCAATCTACAGTAGAGGCTGCTATAGACCCAACGACGGACTGACTGTGGGACTAGTAGCACCAGCTGATAAAGAGCCATCACCACAGACAATACGCCGCGGGCTATTATCACGGGAGACAAACGGAATTCACTCACCTAGAGAAACATGGGGTCGCCGTCACAAAGTCCAATGAATGACATAGGGCAACTGGTGTTTGCGAATTCATGACCCGTGGAAAAGGGAGAACTAAAAATATCTCTCTCATCTCCCCATCTAATCCCAATTGCCTATGCTAATAGGTTTCTAAAGAGCCACAGTGCCAAAGTGCAGCGTTTCCAAACTTATAGCTACGTACCACACAAAGACAGACAGAGAGAGAGAGAGAGAGAGAGAGAGAGTGGGGGTGCATGCGGAGGTACACAACTCACGATTTTCCCAGTTTGTGGCATACAGTCAAATCCACTGTCTTGACTGGTGGCTGCACCATTCACCTACACATAGCACAAAGATGCAGAAGCATTAATATAACACAATATGGCATGTGAACAGTCATAGAACGTGCATTTGCATTTCTCATATGTATGTGTTGAGTTTACCTTGGAGGGACTTTTGGGCGTGGCTTGTTCTTCAGGCTCCGCCCCTCCTCCACCTCGGCTGTGAGATTCGTCACTGGAGGAGGGGTACCGCTGATGAGGGGTGTGGTCAGCCCCACCCCTCTTCCTTCCATGGCCCGTCAGACGTTGGTAGGCAGAGTTTGACACGGGGGAAATGAGGGGGAAGGGCTGGTTTGAGTGGGAGGAGCTACCAGGGATGTCTCCACCCATATTGACGTTAACAAAATAAGGGTTCACAGGAGTCGGACTTAACGAACCCCTTGCCGACCTGTGGGCGTGTCCGTTGACGGGTGTGGCTTTCTCTATAGCGATGAGATCGTCTGGATCGGACTTTGACCTAGAGTGAACGTTTCTCGCGGCCTTTGCGGCGGCAGTGAAACTGACAGGCTGGGGACCTCGTGCCCCAGATGGTCTAGTTTCCACCGCTGATAGTGGACCAGTGGGGAGCTCGGCAACGTCAAATGACCGCGAGGCTTTCTGGTGTCGTGTAGCTAGCTGGTGTGCTCGCGGGTCACGCGCCACAGGCGAACAGCTACTGCTGTACATTTGACGGGAGGCACCGGCGTCTGCTCTCAAGCAACGCTCCAGGTGGTCGTAATCATCGGCACTACCTCTGCGTATGCACCGAGGAGCTGAGGAGGCACGCCCACTAGCAGCCGTCGAGTCGCTCATAAATCTCCTCCTCTGAGCTCCGGGGAGGCGGGCGAACTGCTGAAGTTGAATCAACGGCTGTTGGTCCCCGGGCGAAGTCTCCGTCATGTACCAGTACACCTTGTCCTGTTCCACGTCGGCATCGAACCCCGATTCCAGACTGGACGAGTACCGGGGATTGGCAGTATCGGAATGGGACAGAGTGCTGGCCTCACTCTGGGCGTGTGGGGTCGACTGGAGATGAGATTGCCCCGAGGCTGATGGAGGCCGGGAAAAGGTGGTGGTTGAATGTGACGTGGGTTGGGAGGGAGGGTAGGTGTTGGATTTGATAGCTAATCTCGAAGCTGAGGAAGGAGGGAGACGAGGAGGAGGGGAGGTGCTCGCCATTCGTCTGTTGTTGTTGTTGTTGTTGTTGTTTGAATTGGAGTTGGAGGCAAGGAGAGCTGTGTGGAGTTCATTTCCTCCGGGGGACGCTTGCTGGGGTGTGGGGTAGTGGGGTACCCCGGCAGCTGCACCCCGAGTTCCGTTCGGTTGTTGTTCGATCAGCCACTCGGCCTCCTCTGAGATCTGGTGTCTGTTATGTCCAGGAGAGTAGTAGGCGGGCACGGCGAGGGGAGGAGGAGAGGGAGAGGAGCAGTAGGACACAGGCCTCTCTTCACGGTAGCTGCGACGATCTTTAATTACAGGAGTCGCCCCGGGAGTGATGCGAGCGGGGCTCTGCGACATCTCCCTCTTCTCGTGGCTTCTCTCTCGTCTACGGCTGGACGGACGGCCGCTCCCCGCCCCAACGAGGTCTCCGGGCTCGATCGGGTCCGACATGGCTCGTATGAGACTGTACGGACGGTGGATGGAGCGAGAACGGCTGCCATTACGGAGAGGGACGTTGGTAGCGACGGCTGATTTGTCCTGAGAGTGCGCGGCAGCTCCCTCTTCTCTGGCGGCGCGCCACTGGAGAGCCTTGACGTGGAGCTCCTTAGGGTAGGGGGTGGGGTCTCGCGTCAACTTGCTCTTCGGGTCCTGGACCTCGGGGTCAAAGTTCACCGTTGTGGGGTGTGGCTTGCGGTTGAGCTCGGGAGTATTTCCTGAAGAAACAAGAGAATTAGTGTACGATAAGATCAGATCTACCACCACCAATTTCTTCCAGTTGTCTTGATGAGAGGACTCAGGAGTCCGAGGCAATTACATACATTTGCATGCATAGAAACTCTTTAACGGCAGTAACTTTAATCAGAGGTCTAATGCTCACCAGAGCTCGGCCTTATTTAATGCTCACCATAAGAGGTCGCAGCCTCACACCAAGCTGAGCCCTATTTAATGCTCACCAAGCTCAGCCCTATTTAATGCTCACCATCAGAGCTCAAGGGAGACTCAGTGGGTCTCTGGGGCAGGAGAATGCAGGTCAGCATCTTCTGTCCGTCCCCCGAGCGGGTCATCTGGAGCTCCAGGAGCGGTCTGTTCTGGTTCTCTGCTATCCAGAGAGCGGTGAGGTTGGGGAGAGTGGTGACTGAGAACGGCAGGAACTGCAGCCTGTACACAGGAAAAGAGATGAACTGAATTAGCCTCTGAACTGTGGGGAATCAACATCCGTCTGCTACAGATTTATATCAACAAGACGTCAGACTTTAGTAAACAGTGCAGGATCAGTTCATGGATTAGGTACACTTTCCCAACTTGTGGCAGATTTACGCAAAAATTGAATGTCCTTGTGAATTTTTAGTGGGCAGGGTTCACCCTATTTTTCACTGCTTTACACCAGATGGATGGCAGATATGTAGGCAATTTGTCTTCTGTAAATCTAGTTGTACAACTGACAGGACCCTAGCATCCCGATGTACCTGTTTCCGACCACGTTGAGGATGGAGAGACTGGTCAGCTGGCTCACCTCCCCCGGCAGCTCTGTCAGGTTATTGGACCGGAGGGACAGAATGTTGAGAGACGACAGCTCCCCGATCTCTGCCGGTAGGGAGAACAGAGAGTTCTCGTCCAGGATGAGCGTCTCCAGCTTCCCCAGGCCATAAATCACATTGGGGAGCTCCTGTACAAATGAGAGAGTTATCGTGTTCTAAGGCCGTGGTGACTGTATTGTACAAACCTCTAGAAAGTTCTGAGAGAGGGACAGCTCCACCAGACTGGTCCATCTGTAAAAGCAGGAAAGCACGGTAATCTAGCTCAGTGTTCTACTCAGTAATCTCTCAGTATACTATTCAGTAATTTCTCAGTATTCTATGCAGTAATCCCTATTAGTATTCTATTCAGTAATCTCTCTGTATTCTACTCAGTAATCTATTCAGTATTCTATTCGTATTCTATTTGGCAATCCATCAGTATTCAACTCAGTAATCTACGCACCCATCCATAGACTGCGGTAGGGCAGTGAGCCTGTTCCTTTCAACCTTGAGGAGCTTCAGGTTTCTCAGCTCACCTGCACACCAGCAGAAAAAGAGGAGATGATAAAGATAGACAGTAGTTAATGATGAGGAGAGAGAGAAGAAGGAAGGGGGTAAGATGAAAGAGAGAGAGAGAGAGGTGAGTAAGGAGAGGACAGTTGGCGAGGAAGAAATGATGATTAAAGGGAACGTGTTGGCTAATTTTGAAAAATGTTATAGGGCCCAGTAAAAGAATGCAATTGTGGGTATATACTTCAATTAGGGTAGAAAATACATCAGGTGGGGCCGCTCCCTTAAAACATAGTTTGCCACCAAAATACTTCAACTAGGCTTGCTACCAATAAGGCCAGTAAACTACAGCTCTAGGGAGCACATAAACCTCGATCCCTTTAAAGTAGACAGAGGTGATGGGAGGAAGAAGACAGAGGAGGAGAGAGAGAGACGGGGCAGCTGGACCGACCCATGGTCTCGGGGAGGAGGGAGAGGAGGTTGTCCGAGAGATGGAGGTCCTGGAGACTGACGAGGGAGGAGAAGCTGAGAGGGAGAAACATGAGCTGGTTCTCCGAGACCTCCACAAACTTCAGGTTGCGGAGAGACCCGATCTCCTGCGGACAAGACAAACAGAGACTGTGTGTATCCAGATGGTGTGACCTGAACACCTCACTCTGCTCACTGCTACTTATGGTCATCATCATCATATACACACACACCATGGTCTTCCACTGGCTCTCTTACAAAACACACTAACCACATACAATATACAGACAGTACTTTCTCGCCCAGTATAACTTTGTGGAATACCTGCCGTTTGCTTTAGACACTACATAATGTATTGTACACACATCGAAAGATAATGGCTAAGAATATCGCAGATGGCATTTTCATCGATCAAGAGTTTCCCACTGAAATTTTGCTCTTGCCAACAATATTGCGCAACACGATCCCCCCTCCCCCTCTCTCCTCACATCAGGAAGACTGTTGAGCAGGTTCCCATCCAGCCACAGCTCCGACAGACTCTCCAGTGATCCTATCACACCAGACTGGAAGGGGTTATTTATTTGTTGGATAGAGAGGGTTAAAACGAAAATTACAGGGGTTAAACTCACCAAAGTGTCAATCTCGTTAACTCCAAGGTCAAGTCTCTCAAGTAAGGTCAGGTGACATATGGACCTGGCAATTACACACATAGTCACGTGATGTTGTAATGGGATGTCACATGATATCAGGTGAGATCATGTGACTTACTGGGGGAGTGTGGCAATGACATTCTCTCTCAGTTCCAGACTCTCCAGCTTGTTCAACCTGAGACGGAGGGAGGGGGAGAGGGAGGGAAGGCAGTTTGAGATAAAGAAAGAGATGTTCTTACACAATACAAGGCCTATTGAACATTGGCAGTACTAGCGAAATCTGAAGGAGACAAAAGTATTCTTGTATTACTGCAATAGCTCTAACTTGATTCTCTTAAAAAACTGTTAACGTGTTTCTCCTATTACTCACTGGGCCACACATAAATGCGAAATTTGATGTGCGCGATATCTATTGATACTAAATGACGAACACTTACTTCCCAATGTTGGGAGGGAGTTCCTCCAATTGACAGTCGTTGAGAGCTAGTGTCCGCAACTGACGCAGCTCAGTCAAACCTTCTGGAATGCTGCACACACATTGAAAAGAGAGAGAGAGATGAACCGAAGTGAATAAGGAAACGTGTAGGTATGTACAACTTTCAAGGCTTGAGAGTGGTTTACACACACCAAATTCCTTATGTTAAAGGAATGTGGCAGTCTAAATTTAGAAAAATTATTACTAAAAACGGAAACCTACTGTAATAGCACTCTTGCACTGTGCCTTATGGTTAAGTTTAACCCTTAGTACCATGTCTAAATTTAACCCCTGTGTACTGCCACATTTTCTCTCTAAAAATGTCATGTGTAGTGTTGTAGGATGTGTGTGTAGGTTGGGCTGACCTTCCGAGAGTGTTGGCACTGACGTCAAGATGAAGGAGATCCTGACATTCGCGAATGGAGTCGGGGATGGTGGATAGACCTTGACAGAGAGAGGGGGAGAGAGAAAGAAAGAGGGAGGATAGAGAAAGGGGGGGTGGTGAAATCCTAAAGATGTTCTTCTGCCACCGACCCCATGGAACTAAGCAGCAGTCATTACAACAGGAAGCCAGTATAGAACTACACACCTCCACACATACATTCCTCCAGTTGTCTCTCTCTCTATCCTGGCAACCAGAGAGAGATTACGACATGTACCCACACTATCACCAAAACCAGTCTCATGTGCAGAGAGTAACAGAGTCTACGGCCTGCAGAGGCCAAGCTCAATCTGTTTTACAACCTAACCACATACTGTCACCCCCCCTTAATTTACTTAGGGAAATTCCTCAAAGCAGACCATAAAGATACTGCGGCATGGTGTGTTCATAATACCGATGCACCAAAAGCAAGGCTGGTAAAAGTATGCACAGTAGCTTATGTTGTGATGCAATAGTACATAACTCAGTCTCTTTTAGCGTCAAGATGCGCTGTGTGTACGCAAGGACTTGTGTCAATAAATCGCTTTTAGAGAGAGAATAACCTTATACAGTGGATGTTATTATAGTCCTACGTATTGAGTGGTTCTCTCACTGTTTTTGCTGATGTTGAGGGAAGTGAGGGAGCGTAGGGAGCGGATGGAGGGGGGCAGGAACAGGATGACATTCTCGCTCAAGTCCAGCTCCGTGAGCTGCTCAAACGTGAAGATTGACTGCAGAGATAGAGAGGTAGAGAGGAGGGTAAACTGTGTCAGTGGTGGTGACGAGAGAGAAAGACACACACGGCCTGTTCACGCTCCTTCTTGGCACCCTGTGCACTATTCATGACTCAATAGATTCACACACGCTTGCCAAACATGTCACTCCTACTACCACTGTCTGCCTCTAAAGGAAACTAACAGACGTGTATGTCCATCCCATGTAGAAGAGAGAAGTTGCAAGACGTACCTATAATATAGTACTACTATGGAATGATCTCCTAGCGGGTGTAATAGTATATCTAGTGCACAATGTAGCTAAACAATAGCAAACCTTCACCTGACCACTCCTAATGTGTGGCTGTGTGCGTTTATTGATTAGGACACTGACTAAAGTTTTCCTGCCACAATGGCAACACTCATTACTGTGTCCATACCTCCACCCACTCACTCCTCCAACATTGCGTCATTAAGGGCAGGGTAAGATGTATATACTAACTGTAACTGTGCCCTCAAACATGTACATGTATAACCATGAGAGGTATCCTCAACAATTGACTCTGCCTTGCTTTGTCTTATAGTAATACCTCCCTCTATAATTATGTCAGTGTACAGGGTGCACATGGGTACAGATTGGGGATCTCTTAGCTGTGAGATGTCCAGAGTGGGTGTTCCCACCAACCTCATCTGTTTGACAACAAACACACAACAGAATATGGTAAGGTGGGGATCCGCCCTCTCTTACTCTCTCCTCTCTCTCTCCTCTTTTTACTCTCCTTTCTCCCATTCTCCCTCTATTCTTCCCCCACAGAACCCTATTCTCTAATGACGGTGCACAAATAAACTTCCGCTCAATTGGAGCAGAAATTCAAATTGCCGTGGGCAAGGCTGACTGGCTGGTCAGGGCTCACATGAATACACAGGGAAAACACATTCACACAGAGTTACCAGACACCACTCGTGTGCCATATATACAGTCCCATATAGACCACCGATTACTATGAATGTATACATATGTAGACTCATTCTCAACACTGGCCAGACACTGACATGAGGTGTTCACAACATTCTTTGCATTCCTCAGAGCGCCAGAGGAATGTAGCAGGGGGGCCTGGCGGGGATGAGCTAACGTATGCCTGCAGTGTGAGGGTCACACCGAGCAGCAGTTGTGTGAATTGTGTCAGACACAACAAATGGACCTAACATGGTATGAGAATCAGGAGAAGAAATGGAGGGGGAGGGAGAGGGAGGGGAAGCCCCTAGCATTACCCCCCAGATATCGGGGATGACTAAGAAAACGTTTGATGTGACTCACTCTCCTACACAACTATTGTGTACATACATACACTAACAGAAGCATCTTGCCAAATGAGGTACATACAGTATTCAGTATTCAGTATTCTCACAATCCTACACCACAATGGCCTATGGGAACTCCACCAAACCAATTCTCTTTGCTAAAGGTAATGGCAAAGATAAACTTCATAGACCAGGTCATCTGGTCTTCACCACTTGGTTATGCTAGCTCTCTCCACACACAATGCACTCTGATGCTATCACTAGCTCCACTAGCTCTCTCTCCATGCACAATGCACTATGATGCTATCACTAAGTCTGCCGCCAATCAATCCATTGGCCCACAGTCTCCACTGGGCAAAACTAAGACCCTAGTGTGAACTTGAGCTCCACTTTCTTAGTAGCAGGTAAAATGCCTGTGTAACATGTATGTACACACCACACACACCCATCACTCCTACTGTAGTTCTTTTGACAGTGTGACTAACTCCATTTAGATGAAAGGACACCCTACAGAAAGCAGTGTGTGACGCCATTCGTACACGAGCTCAAAGGGGCATGTAACATTATACCAGGTGTACCAGAGACAATGTACAAACTGAAGCGGCTGAGTTTCAGTTTTTTGCTCCACTGTAGCCCCGAAAGTTTACAAACCCCCCACCTGTGCTGTGTACTCGGACGGCAAAAGACACCTTCATAACAGTGTGAGCAGTTGAGAGTCATCACTACACAATGTGACAGTACTGTAGGTGTCTGGTATGGCGTACTGTGCTAGGCACCAATGTAAGTGCACACTCTCGCAGAATGTGTACGTACACTTCGACATACAGGTGCAGCACCCACTCTGTCCCTCTATCAAGCCAATTACGTGCTACTGTATATACCTGAACCAGCAGAGTTACACGTCAAAACCAGCAAGTGTCAGAGACAGGGAAGCACTAGAGTGTGCATACAAGTGTTGCCTGCATAGCAACCGATGACAAACATGGACAGACAACCTTCACACAAGACACCTACTGCGGCGTTCTCTCTTTCCTTCTCTCTCCCTTTCTACTCCCTCCTGGCACATTCTCTCCCTCTCCCTATTGCCCATAGGCTCACTAGGTGAACAGTAACACTCCCTTACTACTGGTCATCCGATCTTATATATACACCAATAGTGGTGGATACAATCAGCATAACTCTGGACCAATGGAACATAGGTATCACATACACCTCCATTAGGCTTCATTACCCATAGGCCATGCAGTCTGACAGACAACAATATCAGGATTTTGGTGCATGTTTTACCGAGTCATTCAACTCCCTGCAAAGCAGCCAAGATCATAAGACCACCCCACACACATTTCTTCTCGTAAGCACAACGTACTCCCCCTACGCCCACCACTCCTACAGCTAGTATGCTTCCCTCTCTCTCTCTCCACAAACACACACCCGAATTCGTTTCCTCGTTTCTTTCCTCTTCTTCTCCCGCTCTCCCCGCCTTCCACACGTACCTTGGGGACGTCTTTGATGTTGTTGGTAGCCAGAGTCAACTGGCGCAGAGTCCGCCGGTGGTAAAGGACCTCCTTAGGAAGGTCAGACAGACCCAGGTTGGAGCAGTCCCAGTAGTCGAAAGACCGACGCACCTCTCTCTTTCTCCCGCCGAAACAAGCAAACAAACTCATGGCAACGCGTACGGTACTCTGCCACACTACCACAGGTCCCAATTTTCCAGCTTTCGGCTCGCACACAGCTCTCCTCCCTGCAGCTACGTTCGATCTTGTCAGGAAAGCGAAGAAAGTGGGACGGGCCAATAATGTGAATAAACTTAGCGGCGTCTAATTTACCGCATATTTACGCCTACGCGAATTCCGATCTTTCACGCACGCGCAATAGCTTCATACTAACAACCACGCTTTAGCTGTACAACAAGTTCAACTGCGCGTGCGTAGTTCCAGTTCTGCGACTTTAGAGGTCCCTGGGCGAGCTTGATGTACTTTTTCAGCAGACTCTGCCCAATATCCACTGCAGAAAAGTCTCTCCGGTACTGCACAAAATAGTCCCTGCCTTTCAACTGTGAGATGAGGCTGGAAAAGAGGGGCATGGCTGCTGGCAGTGGTCCTCCGCCACATGTCTCTACAGTCTTGAAGTCTAGTCTGTCTGAACACTTTGAAGAAGTTTTGCTGTTTGTCTTTCTCTCCCTCTCCTCTTCCTTAGGTCCTCTGTCGACACCAGTCTGAGCAACCTTTTCTCTTGTCCTCAACTCACTTCCCTCTATCTCCCACGCCCAGTAGCACAGCTCTCCCGAGTACATCAGTGCTAGCATGTGGATATCACTGAAGAGACCTATAATATACCAAACAAGAGTTTATGTGCACATAAGTGCTGGTATCGAAATGCGACATATAAAGCACAATGCACAACAGCACTAAAACGCTAGCTAATTTCATACCAAATATACGTGTCCACAACAAGGTTAAAGAAAAGAAGAGGCACGTAACATTATGGCCTCCTGGCAAATGGTCCAATAATCCTTATATATAGCACAGAAATCACAGTGACAATCTACCTTCCTGGAGCAACTGTGGTAAGGTGGCATCATTGGAGGAGAAGTCTTCCCTGGGATTCAGAGGAGCTCTGGAAGATAGCATCAGGGCCAGGTGACACACACCCAACACACAACACTGCAACCAGATAAAAAACAATTCAGTGTCTTAAACATTACAACAATAACTTATCGATTTGAGGTAGTTGCCTAATAATGAGCAAATATTCAAGTTCACTACGTGAAAAGTGGAAGTTATGCTGAGCAGCAAATTAAAAAAACTGTGGTATATATATATATATATATATATATATATAATATATAGGAATGCCCCACACACATAATATATACCTCTTTGATGAAAGCATTATCTGCAGCCTGTCGTCTCTGCTCAGAGGCCATCAACTCATGGACGTACATGTACAGGAGGGCCCCCACCCTCCAATTAACACACTCAAATTGATCAGTACCCAGCACTGGGTGCACCTAACGCAGAAAAAAAGTTTCATTGTTTCGTCAGGATTTCAAATTGGACTCACATTTTCCACTGATCCACACAGTGAGACTGCTCCACTGATGGAGTCTAGACCAATGAAAACAGAGTGCTACACAGGAACAAGTTGAACAATGTTTGCACCTATGATGGCAGACATTTCGTGTTTTGCGACATCATCAGGGAAACCCCCTTCGACCACCCGACATTCCTGATGGTACGTGGAGTCAAGGACACTCTAGAGGAGATGAAAAACATCTTACACCTCCAACAATACCTCGCCATCAAAAGGGAGGAAAATCTTTATCAAATCACCTGAGTATAGTTTCGAAATGCTTCTCTGGCAGGACCAGAGACCAGCAAGGCGCTTAAGTCACACCTATAGTGCACGTGACATATAAGAGATACGTCACAGCTAGCTTCTAGTGTGAAGTTCTGTACCTTTTCAGTTGGGTCATGGCATTCTCGGCTGATCCCAGCGCCTTAGAAACCACATCATCTGGTGGCAGAATAACAGGGACTTACCCACTGAAATTGCAATACAATTTACCTCGCGGATGCTGCTCCGAGAGCTTCCTGCAGTGCTCCAGTTGCTGCCTAAACAGCGCCTCGGCTTGCTGTACAGTCGACATTACTCGCGCATGCGCATTGAGCTCCATCTTTCAGCTGTTTGATATTTCTTTCGATTATTTAGAAAGAATGTTATGATTAGTTGATGATTATTGCGGTTGTTGAGGAGCTTGTAGATCTGCACAGCTGAACCGAATTAGCTTTGGGCTTTTTTCAGAGACCGTTGTTGCAAGTAAAGAGCTGCGAGAAGAAAGATCAGCTGTGGAGGTAAGCTCTAACCTGTGTTCATTTACGTGGACAAGAGAAAAATCAAGTGATGCGATGTGACATGCACTCGAGCTTCTTGCTAGGACCATGTCCAATGTCGCGTAGCAGGAGAATCCATGATAGTGAGCTTTAGGTTGTACGCTGGCCACAACAAACACTTATTGGGACTTAGCCTCATTAGCTGCGTAAGCCACCGCTAAGTACCATATCCCTGGCTCTGACTGTTGTCGGCTTTGAAAAGCGCTACGCAGTGCATTCATGTTCATGTGCTGTACGTGGCTTCAATAATGGTGTGCATCTTTCCACAGCTGTAGCAGACACAAATTGTATCGATGTATGCGCTACGATCTAGCTAGAAATGGTGAGCATGCAGTATATACAGCCTGCCACAGTATAGTGCAGCGGTCTGGATAAGAGGAAGCATGGGGCAGAGGTTAGCATACCTGGCAGGGCAGACCCACACACAGAAAACTGTGGGTGGGGCTTCAGTCCGCTGGCCTCACTTCCCATGGACACCGCACACTGTAATTGTCTGCACCTGTATGAGGTGGGAGGTCCGCCTTGTTTGGAAAGCCCTCTGCTGACTCAGATTCTGTGAGTAAGAAAGGTCTGGTGATCCTTCACCAGTCATATATTATGCTCCCAGCAGCCAAGTCCCTGTTTTCAGCTACTCCAGCTGTTAGCTCCATAAATCCCACCACCATATGATTACAATCCACTGAGAACCACATAACCTCCATGGAGAGAGGGACACTCGGAATTCAAAGACAGGAGAGAGGGGAATTTAAGTCATTCATTGATCATTGGCGAAGCTATGTATGCTATGAAGGGCCACCATAGCTTGGGTGAATAAACAGCTCCATTTCGCGAAGGGACCACATATTCCCAGACTAATTTCTCTAGCTGCTCTCTGTGTGTGCATGAGTAACTTCTTCTGAGTAAGCAGCAGATACAATTTTCAAGCTGAGCTGGTAGAATTTTATGTATGTGGATGATGTGCTAAAATTTCTGGGTACTACTAGGGGGTAGTGTAACAACGCACCTGAGTACAGTGTGTATATAGTAGTGAAACTGTTGATACTGGGAGATGTAGTGATGTAGTGATACATAGGTGGCTGGGGTGAAAAGGGGGTACACCTCTATAGAGGGTGTTTGTTGACAGTCTGCGGTGCCATTCCGCCACACACAGTTTGGGACTCTGAAGTATATACTCTGTCAGTACTGGAGCATGTTTTGATGTCAAACTGTACACTACCAGTTCACATGCCTATACAGTCTGTGGTGTAATGTTTCAATATGCATGCTGCTTGCTCATGTGTGAAGTGCTAATTTGCTATAATACATAAAGTGTGCATTCTTTATAATGGACAAGAATTTTCAAGTACACTAGTGACTGTGTGAGAGACTGGATGTCTCCACAGTCTCTCTGATTTCATGTTTGTGGGTTTTACATCATTTCCCTGTTTTGTAGCTATCACTCCTAGCTACCCTTCCTTCCTCTTTCTGGGTAAAGTGTAGTCTAGTCTGTCACTTCCCACATTCATCCTGTTATGTTTTTGCATAAAAGAGCTAGGCTGTAGCTAGGGATCATCGAATGACTGGTGTGTGAACTATGATGAGATCTTGAGAAAGCTGTCCATGTCGATTGTCGCAGCGATGCGCGCAAAACCCTCTCGCGATCCTTCACAGACTGGTTCAGCACAATTACTATGTGGCATGGTAATCAAGCAGGTGTTCTAATATATAGTTTCGTTATTAACAAGGGGCCCACCCACCCAGTGTGCTAGTAGTGAGTATGTGTGTGTGTGGGATTACAAATGCCATTTCCTTTCTGGAGGTTGCGGTATAGTACCAGTGAGAGTGAGCACATGTAGCGGAATGACCACTTTACTCTGTCCTGTTTACTACTCACTCTCCCAAACCACTTCAGATGTTTCAGTATGGAACTCCCCAGCTTCTTATTGACCAACCTTATTTTTAAAGCCACGGACCACGTCTGTGCCATCTTATGTATTTCTATCAGTTTACATTTACACCCTTTCACTAAGGACCGGTGGCATTCTTCTAACTTACAAACCTGTATGTGGCCACTCTATAGTGGGTCATAGGGATTGAGTTGTTGACCTCCTCTACACATGCATGCTCTATGGTTTCCCAGCCCTTGCCTCCCACACGACCCACAACACACTGATGCCTCAATCACAACATTCCTGCAGCCCTCCATTTTCTGTTCCGATTCCTACCTTAGCTGTGTAAGCGGCTGTGTTTGCGTTGAGAGATAAATACACATTATGGCCCTGGCTGCTAAACTATAGGGTTACACCGGTGTTTACTCTTTCTGCTGTCCAGAGAGAGAGAAATGGCTGAGCCTGACCAAGAACTGTATGAAGAGCTAGAGCTAGCAGATGATGCCGTGGAAGATATATACGAAGATCTCCCTGATTCTGCCTTCAACGATGCACCCATCTCACCTCCTCCCCTTCCCTCCACCCCCATCCCCTCGTTCCCAAGCCCCGCCCACAAGGCCCCGCCTCTACCGCCATCCAACGTTCCGCCCATCCCGACTCGCGCCATGGCAACATCTCTCACTAGAAACCAGCCCAGCAACAACCTCCAGAAACCGATAAAACAGACCAAAGCGACAACAATGAAACCCGGAAAGCCTGGAAAGCCGCCACCAGCTGTCAAAGCCAAAGCAGGAGGAGGCGGAGGAGGAATAGACATATCTGAGATTATGAAGAGGGCCAGACAGAGGACAGGGAGCACTTCGGCCATTATGGATTTGGAGACCAAGATTGGCGAGAAGAAAGACGACGATAACGCTCACGTGGCGCCGTGGGCTAACCAGCTCCGCAAGCCAAAAGTCCCACCGCCACCAAAGGAAGCAAGGAAGGAGGGTGGAGAGGGGAGCACGCCTCCCTGGGTCAAACGAAAGGTCGAGAACGAAGAACCCGCGACAGAGTCTCGAGCTCGAGCTCCACCGACCGCTCCGTCGAAGCCACCGGTGGCAAACGGATCCGGTCCAGACGGTCGTAGCTCGCCCACCGGTGACGACAACAAGCCTCCCTGGCTGAAGCAGAGGGAAAGACAGCAGCAACTGGCCAAGACTGCCCCGGGCAGCGGTATTGCAGAGAAACCTCACATCGTACCCAAACCAGCTGCTAAACCACCTCCAATGGCTCCGAAACCAGCCACAAAACCACCGCAATTAGCCCCTGGACCCAAACCCCCTTCTGATCAGCCGCCTCCCACTTCCCCAAGAAAAACTCGTCCCGTCCCCACACCAAAGACAAACGACTCCGCTGAGTCGGAGAAGCAGGCGAGTGGCGCGTCACCGCCCACCCAGAGCGCAGGCGTGCTCGCAAAGGCCAAGATGTTTGCAGAGGCAGGATCTAAACCAGCCATTGCTCCAAAGACTGGGACTAGGCCGCCTCCTGTGAAACCCCACGGAGTTGGCGCGGAAAACTCGCCCGTTGTGGCGCCACGAGTGGAGAAGAAATCGCCCACCCCTCCTCCGATACCCACCCGAGAGTCATCCATGTCACAGAGCACACAGCCACGCTCGCCTTCCCCCATCCCCGAGGACACGCCTCCCTTCTCTCGTCCACCTCCGTCGGTCCCCGAGACTAATGCTGCTCCCATCCCCGCATTTTGTCCCCCGCCCATCAGCACACGCCCACCTCCACCTCCCACCACCCCTCCTCCACCGTCCTCACAACCTCCCATAATTCCCCCTCCACCCCCTCTCTCCGAACCCCCAGGTCCCCCGTCGCTCCCCGACAGAAACCCCCCGAAAGCTCCGCCCCCTTTCCTCCCTTCGTCTCGGCCTCCGCCCTCTCTCCCTGCCACACGGGCCCAGCCTACACCCCCCACGGGGAGCGTCATGAAATTCCGCAGACGACCCCTCAAATCAGTGGACCGCTCAAAACCTCCACCCCTTCCTCCACCCAACTCCAAACCTGTTAAATTTCCCAGTAAGAGTATATATACACCTTGCCGTGGCATAATTATTATGTCTGGATGAGACTAGTAGTCATTCTTGTTTATTCAACTGCAGTGAAGCTTAATGCTTGTGTTAGCATGTTTCCAAAGCTTTTACCAATGACCCAAGGATGTCCATACTATATGGAGCATAAAGAATGTCTATGTATATATGTAACACATAGTGCAGTTTGATTGGGGTTACGCGACCTGCCAAAATAATTGCCACAATTTGTGTTATTTCAGTCCAACCTCCGTTGTCGTCTGTCCCACCACCAGCTCCAAGTGGGGGTGTGTCCGCTGGGAGTTGGGCTGAAACGTCTGGCGACGGAGATGAACCCGAGGACATCTACGAAGACACTGCCGCTGGTGCACCCGAGTGAGCCACCACTAGCCCTAATACCATCATACAAATTGAGACACTGACATTTTAAGAGCTTAAGTGGGCTAGTAGTCTAGCATGGAGTAGGAATGTAGGCGGGTACACTCCTATAGTGGTTTGTGTGTTTGTGCACATGTTGCATGCTGTCAGTGTTTCAGTTGTGTGTTTCAGTTTGTGTTTGAATAAACACTCAACAGCACACTCTTCATCCATTCTCTACAGAGAGGACGGGCCGGATGAACTGTACGATGATATCGGGAACATTCAGGCGTCCAAACCTCCGATGCCACCCCTGCCGTCATCGCCACCTCTCCTTCCCTCCGTCCCCCCACCCACCTTCCGTCCTCCTCCTCCCATGGTGGTCGAGACTCCCGAGATAAACTATGAGATGGACCCCAACCTGCAGCAGAATGGAGTGGTCCATGAAGAGTACGTCACTTTTGACACACATCTTTAGTACGCACATTTCTATTATGTATCATTGGGCAACTTTGAAAGATAAAGCTTATGCAAAGTCCAGCAAAAGTAAATTCTGATGGTCGGATTTCATTTGTTGTTGGAGCAAGTGATTTGTGAAGTTCTTTTAACCAAATCGAAAGTTTCTCAGAAACGTCTCTCTCTCTCTCTTCCTTCTCTCTCTCTCTCTCTCTCTCTCTCTTCCTTCTCTCTCTCTCTCTCTCTCTCTCTCTCTCTCTCTCTCTCTCTCTCTTCTCTCTCTCTCTCTCCTCTCTTCCTTCCTTCTCTCTCTCTTCCTCTCTCTCTTCCTTCTCTCCTCTCTCCTTCTCTCTCTCTCTCTCTCTCTCTCTCCTCTCTCTCTTCCTTCTCTCTCTCTCTCTCTCTCTCTTCCTTCTCTCTCTTCTCTCTCTCTCTCTTCCTTTCTCTTTCTCTGCATTTCAGTGTGACTCAGGAACTGTACGAAGACCTGAATCCCATCGACGGTCACCTCAACTCACCTGGTGCCCCGTCGGTCACCACTCTTCCCCTCCCTCTCTCATCCTCACAGAACTCACTCACCCCTAGCACTTCTCCCACCCTCGACCGCAAACAAAAGTGAGTATAAACACACCCACATGGCATGGTATGTAGACAATGTGTTTTCTGTTATATACAAGCGTTCGACAGTAGTTTAATTTCCAGGAGCAATTTATATTAGTGTGTGCACTCACATAGTTGTGTGTGTGTGTGTGTGTGTGTCAGGCTGTCCAGAGAGCAGAAGAAGCAGCAGAAAGAGGAGGAGAGGAAGAAGAAAGAGCTGAAGAAAAAAGAGGAGGCGAAAGCCAAAAACAGACTCAAGTCCCTCAAAACCTTCAAGGTTCTTGCGACGCTTAGTAGCACAATCCACTCTAATTAATCCCCCCCCTCTGACTCTCTATTTATCTGTTCTCAGGAGTTCAAACTTCCCAACGACGTCCAGTCTCTGTTTGCGGTTGAAGTACAGGAGGACCATCCAAAGACCAAGGATCACATGGCCGTCTCGAAGGGAGAACAGGTGTACGTGCTCCTCATCAGCCACCCAAAACTGCCCAACGACCGCTACTTCATAGAGAAAGATGATGGAACAAGTGAGCATGATTATAGTGCTTTGCCTAGCGCAGATACTTACGAACGAACTTTGTGTGTGTTAATGATTTATATGTTTATGTGAAGAAAAAATCATCTTTGAAAGAAATTATCGTAAACTCAGTCTATAGTTGTGTCAGCTAGAGTGTGGCCTCATTCTATTCCCCCTAACTTGCAGTGGGTTTTGTGATGAAGTCCATCTGCGTCAGGGTAAGTCCTACTGAATCACTTTACGATACACACATTGACTCTCTTTACTCTACCACATGTGGGTATCGATGACCACAAAAATGTGCAGATGGTCTACCTGGCTCAGCAGAGGTAATACATACCGCAGTTTATACACATGAATGACTAGTGTATCTCCTTTCCTCTCCCCTTTCACCTTCCCTCCCTCCACTCCATTCCTCTTCCACCCTTCTTCTTCTACACGGTAGTGAGCCTCCACCAGTTCCTGATGTGGACGAGTACCTAGACCAAGATATCTACGAGGAGCTGCCGGCAGATGACGACGACAGTCTCAATGGAATTGCTCCGCCTGCCCTCCCCCCTCCCAACCCCAACTTCCTTCCGACTCGCTTCCCAGCTCCCTCACAGGCCGCACCTCCTCCGCCTCCTGGTCAGTAACAGCACATTTAATTTGTCTCTCTCCATAATCTCCCCCGCCCCCTCTGTCTCCCTCCACAGATGAACCGCAGGACAACTATGAATACTTGCCTGAACAAGAGGGTTCTTATTAGTGCCCACTATTATAAGTATGGGACACTCTATTTTTTTATCAAGGCCGTTGAGTCAGACGTTTTCTGCATAATTATTAGATTTGCTATTGACAGTGCAATATAAAGCGCTTATCTCGTGAGCGCGCTTAGCTTAGAACAACGTACGCATGCGCAAATTAAAACTCCGCCCTCTAACCGCGTGCTGACACGTAAAGTTCGACCGGCGTGTGATATAATGGCGGCTCACAAGACCTTCAAAATCAAGCGAGTCCTGGCCAAGAAGCAGCGACAGAACCGCTCCATCCCACAGTGGATACGAATGAAAACCGGCAACACCATCCGCTACAACTCCAAGAGGAGAATGTGGCGAAGAACAAAGCTCGGTCTTTGAGACTGTCTCTCACACGCTTGGTACCCCGCCGCCTCATGGATGTAATAACTGTACTCTTATACTCTACCACTGACTCTTACAACCATTAAATTATGAGACCAGACTTTTAGCTTTCTATAATAGTATGACACGTCTGTGCAGTGTGTACGTAAAATGCCAGAAATCTGAGAGCTATATTATAATAGTTGATGTTTTGTCAGAACGCTGGAGCAAAGTTGTAGTTCAAGTTGACGTGGCAAAATTGATAATCTACGCACAAATACATCTTGCCACGGCTGACAAATTGAGTATAAATAGAGCAATTATACAGGAGAGTATTAAAAAATACTTGCATGTTGATGAATTCTGAACATGCAAACACTGCACGCCTGCTGAAACACTGTACAATTTGTATGTTGTGTTGTGTGAGAGAGAGAGAGAGAGAAAAGAGGACAAGAGTGGTGAAGAGGTTGGAAGAGGAGATCTCAGAAGTCTGCGTTGAGTGTGAAGACGTGCTCTGATTTGTCGGACATGACTCCCGTCTTCTGGTACTCTCCGACCCTCTTCTCAAAGAAGTTGGTCTTTCCCTCCAGTGATATGTTCTCCATAAAGTCAAATGGATTCTCAACCTTGTACATCTGTAGCAGGAGAGAGAGAAACCTTAGGACATCATAGTATGTAGCAGTAAAGTAGGTTTCAAAATGGGAAAGTAATTCGGCAAGGAACAAATATGCTCCAGGAAAAAAAGGGAATTTGACAAGAAAGTTTTCTAATGTCTCGTACACATGTCAACACTAAAGTGCAGGGCTACTCCGTACCTTCTCTTGTTGTAGTGCCAACATCAGTCTGTCGGCACAAAGGCAATGTACTGTTTCATCAGGTCACAGTTCATCCCTATTAGGTTGACTGGCAGTGCCTTCGTCAGGAACTGTAGTGCACAAAAAACAACTTTAGAGTGGCAAATACGTTGAAAGTCGTGCGTCAACCTCTTGTTCAATGGTGACGGCGTCAGTGATGATGTCCCTGATCCTCTGTGGTGAAGGCTTGTGGACCAGCTTGGTGAACAGGAGACAGGCAAAGTCACAGTGTAGACCCTCGTCTCTGCTGATCAGCTCGTTGGAGAAGGTCAACCCTGGCATTAGACCCCTGAGAATGTGCAAAGGAGTTATATTCTACATGCATACTACTGCTATAAATGGCGTGAATATAACTGTGTGTTGTGTGGGCATCAGAGTTCAGTACATTCATCACAGAGTTGATCTCTGCTGTCCCTATACTTACATCATCACCTGCCACACACACCCTCCTCTAGCTATAAACATGCTACACACTCCACGTCACTCACCTCTTCTTGAGCCAGAAGATGGCGGCAAACGAACCAGAGAAGAAGATTCCCTCAACCGCTGCAAATGCAATGATGCGCTCTCCGAAACTGGCCGTCTTTGAGTTGATCCACTTTAGCGCCCAGTCTGCCTTTCTCTTGACACACGGCACTATCAGAGCGGACAATATATCAATTATGCTCTCAATGATTGGAGGGTTTCACTCACTAGTTTCAACGGCATTGAAGAGGTACTCTTTCTCAGCCTTGTCCTTGATGTACGTGTCTATGAGTAGACTGTACATCTCAGAGTGGATGTTCTCTATGGCTATCTGGAACCCATAGAAACACCTTGCCTCTGTCACCTGCACTTCTGAACTGAACCGCTCCACCTGGCAGCAGTAACAATGTAATATTGTAAGGGGCACCTCCTATTTACACATGTCCGACATCATAATAATTATTGATGTGGTTCAGACAACCAACCACACAACAAGATGTGTATGTACACCTAAACAAAAACCACAACATTTTGTAGGACATAAGAGTTCGTTCTCTCCAGTTCTTACGTACCAAGTTCTCGTTCACAATGCCGTCGCTGGCGGCGAAGAAGGCGAGGACGTGTTTGATGAAGTGCTGCTCCTGAGGCTTGAGTCGCTCCCAGTCGACATGTCCTTCGACAGGTCCACCTCCTCCGTCGTCCAGAACGACGCTGTAGCGACACACACGAGGAGACGTATACATAGGTATCCCGCAGGGTAAATTATTCATACGGACTTTTGGCGCGAATTTGGCGCCAACTAGACCCTACGCCTTCTTTCTCTGAAGTTTTGTTGGAAGAAACTTACCGACTGCCTTCTTGTAGAACTCCCAGATGTCCGAGTACTGGATGGGGAACATGACGAAGCGGCGCGGGTTCTCTTGAAGAAGCGGCTCGTCCTTCTCCAGCTCTCTCATTAGCCTCGCCGCCTCTTCTTCCCTCGGTGACCCGACCTCCATCTTGTAAACAGAAGGAGAGAGAATGGAAAGAAAGAAGAGAGGGTGTAGTGAGGGAAAAACAGAAGTAAAGGGAGAAAGGGAAGCGAAGATTTGGTCTAGTGCACGAACGAGGGTCTTTCTCGGGCGCGGCTCACCTGCTCGGCAAGCAGGTTGGTCGTCTCTTTTTCCTCCTGGGAGTTAGTGTGACGGACAGGTTGGTGGAGAGCCGGTGGCTCTTCCACTCGCGGCTTCTTGGCCGCCCTCGGGCTTCCCGCGCAGTTCTCCTGGTTGGAAATGTCTCCGAAAGGTGCTCGGCGGACGGTTGTGGTGGCCATTACTTTCACTGGAGGTTAACAGAGGTAAACAGAGGTTGGCTGAGAGGCAAGAAGGACTGCTGGCCGCTGGAAGAGACGTGAGAGAGTGTGGTTTTGATGGTCGGACTCTTGCCTTTTGAACTACTCGTTTGTTACCCGCGCCCTGGTTTACCGCTCGCGGGTAAAATTCGTATTCCACCAATCAGATTCGGGCAACGCCCAACTTAATCAGCTGTCGAGTGTCGACAGCCGCATGAATTCTGATTGGTGCCATAATTTCCCGCGCTTCGATGGAGCTCGTGAACTGACCAATCAGATCATGGAAACGAAAACCCCCGCGCCCGTCTTACATTTGGACGCACGCGCGAGTTTAGTAGGCGTGGTCCTGGGGAATGGCAGAAGATCTACAGCGTTACTTGAAGACTCTGGTCCAGTCAGAGGAAGGACTGGAGGCTGTTATCGTATCAGATAGAGACGGAGTTCAATTGGTGGAAGCTAAGAACGAGGGCGTGTCGGTTGGCGTCCTAAAACCTCCGTTTCTCGGGACGTTTTCCATAGCTAGCGAGCAGGCTAGCAAACTTGGACTAGGCAAAAACAGAGCCATCATATCGTACTACACGGCACACCAGGTGGTCCAGTTTCTGCCACTTTCCTCTGGTGGTGACCTTTATAGCCAGGAGCAATGCCAACACTGGGATGATCTACTTGGTCGAGGAAGGCCTTCGTGATGCAATCAGTGACCTCAAAGCAGCCGTAACTGTACCCTAGAATCTCTGTTGGTGGCTGTTTTAAACGAGCTTTTAACAATTTGTGTGTGTTTCATCATCAAAATGTCAACCACCTCTCAGAAATCAGCCATTTTGTGTAAGAACGCGCTTGCGCAAAACACACGCTCCAATTATAAGGAAAGTGGGTGGGGCTGGTCGCGTCGGAAATATTGAAGTGGCAAAGATGATGCCCATCAAAGGTCTCTCGGCTGAAGAAACGCACTTTCACCGGCGGCCGCTGGTGGGCAGGGGCGGGAATTACCTCTCGTCCGCTCTTCTCTGCATGTGGGACAATATCCACGGACCCAAGATACTCAGCATATGGAGCAGAGACGAAAAATCACCCTCACCCCTAGGTACCTGCAGCAGAACTGACACACATTGAACAATAATGTTTTTGTCTGGTTTCATAGTGGCGGGGAAGCACACGGGGGCGCCGTCTCCTCTCCCCAAACCGCCGACCCTTCTCGGCGTGGCCATCCACTCTCTCAACAACGAGCCTGGACGAACGGAGCGAATCCTCGGAATCGAGTCCAAGTTCTTTGTGATGGAGAAAAACAGCATAATTGCAGGGGCATTCATATTCACGGTGGAGATCAACCAGGGCCGGCCGGAGGTGTTCTCCTTCATTCTGGTCCTCCCTCACTCGGAAATGCAAGAGTATCTCACCAGATTCTCTTTCTACGAGGCAAAAGTTCATCAGCTGTTGCGCAAGTCTCTAATTGAGCCTCTGTGCAAGGTCTACCCATACTTAGAGTCACTCACACTTCTTCTTAACCTCCTTCTCCCCCTCAATGACTTTCTATCTTACGTTTCTTGTCTTTGACTTTCCTACATTACTTGTCGTCCTTTTTCTCCTTATGAATTTCTATATTTCGTAAAAAAATACTTGTCTTTTTCTCCTTGTTGTCATGTGTTTTCTCTTTTATCTTCTTTTCCTCCTCCTCCTCCTCCTCTCCTCCCTCTCTCCCACCTCTAGCTACCACCGACGGGAATGCACTACAAGTCTCAGGCCAGGCTGAAGGAGCACGTCATGAAGGAAGTGGCCAACGTGGACCAGCCCATCCAGAACCTGGCACAGCTCATGCACAGTCTTCGCTACCACTGCATCCCTCCAAAATACACCGTAAATATGTAGCATTTACATAGACACTCTAAATGGTTTGTTAGTTCACATGTGTAATCGTCTAAACTGCTAAACCACCAGATGATGATTCCCCTGTCCAGGTTCATCAGACATATCTGGGGAATGATTTAGAGGCAATGAGAAAATTTCTCGAGCAGTGAGTTCCTCTGTCCCCCAGCCACCATGTGTCTCTAATGACTGCTTCCTCTCTATTGCAGCTCCATAACTTGTCTCTTGCAGTGCTCCGGGCATGCCATAGTGGTAGGGGAAGACCGACAGAGTGTCAACACCGTAAGATAGTGTAACTGAATTGTAAAACTTGTGATTACATCTACACAAGAACCATTGGCAAAGCGAAACTTGAGGGTACTATGGTGCTGATCATGGTGCATATATACAGTGACCTCCAATCATTTTTACGGTACTGTAGCATTGACTGTACATGGTGGTTCTTCTATCTCTCTCTCTCTCTTTCTCTCTGTAAGATGCTGAGGACACTGGGTCTGTTCCTGTCAGATCAGGAGAAGAAGCTCTCTCGACTTGCCTGTCCCCCTCCCTCCTCCATGGACGGAGATGACAACATGGACTTCTTCAACTACGAACCAAACCTCTTCCTCCAGGGGTTTGTAGTGGTGAGGTGGGGCAGAGAGGAGGAGGGGGAGGAGGGAGGAGGGAGCGTGGGAACCCAAACTGAAGGAGTGAAAGCTATGAAACCACACACAGCTTTCAATGTATTCATTCATACTCAGTCTAAAATTCATTTAGAATTCTCATGTGGTGAGATCAGAGTATTGTGTGTCGTTCACAGAGTGGCGAGTCGTCGTATCTGCCTTTCTCAATGGCCAACATTCGAGAGAGCTACCTCCCTCCCTGCATCATCCACATCAGCACCAACTTCAAGGAGGTCAGTGGATGAGTAGAAGTTGTATAATGGAACCTTAGTTAGAGCGAAATGCCTGCTTATTATGAACGGCTTTGTTAATCGTCCCGGGAGTTGAAAAATGAGAGGTCACTTAAAGTAATGTTTATGTGCGCTGTTGTCTGTAGGTCAGGTGGGTGGAAATGAACATTCCTTTCTTCATTCGCGTCAAAGACGACAATAACGAGAAGAAGCACAGGAAATGGTGCGAACTCCTCCTTAGCCCAGTATACATACACTACAGCTATATATAGTACCCACTGTAGAGTGAGTGTTACACTATGTTTCTTCCCGTAACAGTCTCGACTTCAGAGATCTTCATCAGTTCAAGGACTTCAAGGAGTGCTCTTCACGAATGATGACCGACTTTATTGAGAGAGTATGTTTACCCACA